TGATTTCTATTAATAATGAGTTCCTATATAAAATAAGAGACAAACAAGGAGATGATGCGTTTATATTAGAAAAGAGAAAATTAATAGGGAATGATAAAGCTGAAGATTTTAATTTAGGAATGAATGATATATAAAGATTTAAACATAGAGTATGTGTGTCAGATAATAAAAAAAAATTAAGGAGTTAATTTTAGAAGAAGGACATAAAAGTAAATTAAGTATACATCTTGGAGTTACTAAAATGCATAAGGATTTGAAAGAAATGTTTTAGTGACCTGGAATGAAGAAGGACATAGCAGAATATGTTGCCCGTTGCTTAACATGTCAGAAAATTAAAAATTGAACATCAAAAGCCCTCTGCATGTTACATCCATTAGAAATTCCAGTCTGGAGATGTGAAAGCGTATCTATGGATTTTGTAGTGGATTTACCCAAAACTTCTAGAAATTACAATTCTATTTGGGTGATTGTGGATATGTTAACAAAAACTGCTCATTTTATTCCAATCAATATTAAGTACTCTTTAGATAAATTAACATTATTATATATCAAAGAAATTGTTAGACTACATGGTGTACCAACTAGTATAGTATTAGATAGAGATCCCAGATTCATATCTAGATTTTGGAAAGAATTCCAAAAAGCTTTAGGAAGTAAATTGCATCTCAGTTCAGCCTATCATCCTCAAACTGATGGGCAGACTGAAAGAATTATCTAGTCATTAGAAAATCTTTTAAGGGCTTGTGTATTAGAAGAAAAATCTAGTTGGGATGAAATTTTACCCTTAGTAAAATTTACATATAATAATAACTATCACTCTAGTATAGGTATGACTCCTTATGAAGCACTTTATGGGCGTAAGTGTAGGACACCTTTAGTTTGATGGTGAGAGTTTATCAATAGGACCCGATGTAAGTCAACAAACTACCAATAAACTGAAGACAATTCAGGAGAGAATGAGAACTGCTCAAAGTTGACAGAAAAGTTATGCTGATAAGAGAAGGAAACCTTTAGACTTTCAGGAAGGAGACCATATATTTTTGAAAGTTACATCTATTACAGGAGTTGGCAAAGCTATTAAATCTAAGAAACTTCCCCCTAAATATATTGAGCCTTATCAAATTACACAACGAGTTGGAAATGTTGTCTACCAGATAGCCCTACCACCTTTTCTCTCCAATCTTCATAATGTATTCCATGTGTCACAATTGAGAAAATATTTTTTAGATCCAACACATGTCATGGAACCTGATCAAGTACAGGTGAAGGAAAACCTCACCTTTGAACCGAGCCCTGTTAAGATTGAACAAAGGAGAATCAAGCTATTTCATTGATTAAGGTTATATGAGATGACATTAGAGGCGATGCTACATGGGGGTTAGAAGAGAAAGTGAAAGCAGAGTATCTTGAATAAATGGTGACGAAAATTTCGAGGACAAAATTTATTTAGTGGGGGAGAATTATAACATCCCAATTTCTGTAATTAATTATTTGCTCAAGTTCCTACAAATTATTATATAAATATTATGTAAACTTTTTATAAGAAGAAATGATATATTTAATATATATATATATATATATATATATAATAAATAATAATAAAAAAATGATGTACAATATCCTTATTACGAAAAACGCAAAGAGAGAAAGAGAAGGTATTGTGGCCTTAATATATAATTGAAATTAAGGCGGTGAAGAAAATTTGAGAAGGAATTTAAGTCGATAAGTTAAGTCTATAAATAGGATGAAATTGGACAAGTGATTCACGACCTAACGAGAGAAGCACCAGATTTTGAGAAGAGAAATTTGAAAGAAGAAGAAGAAGAAAATGATAGAATTGAACAATAAATCGGTGGAATACTAGCAAATCTTGGAGAAATAGGTATGGGGTAGATGTTTAATTTTATCAAAATGTCTGAATTTGATGGTTCATTCACTGATTGAAAAGTTTGAAATATTTGTTGAAATTCTTCAAATTAAGGATGCATTATATAACAAAATTGTTGTTTTTAACTTAAATTGAACATGTTTATGGTTTAATTTTGATTTGGAACTAATCTGGGTGATTGAAACTAGGAAATTTGAAATATGGATTTTGAAAATGGCATACTGGAGGTGATTACTATTCATATTTTGCAAAGTTTTAAATATTGATGAAATTCTTGAAATTAAGGATGAATTATATAGTAAAATTGTTGTTTTTGACTTAATTTGGACATATTGCATGTTTAATTTTGATTTAGAACTAATTTGGGTGCTTTAAACTGAGAAATTAGAAATCTGGATTTTGAAAATGGCTTACAGGGAGCGAAGGAAGAAGAAAGGGACTAGGTGAGAATTTTTGAAAAAGATAAAGGGTAAAATAGTCATTACACAACTTAGGGATATAAATGAAATTTTGAAAAAGATTAAGGCTATAATAGTCATTTCATCATGGCTCCAGGACATGAATGAAATTATAGAAAATGTCCAAGGGTAAAATAGTCATTTTAGGGACATGAATGAAATTATAGAAAATGTACAAGGGTAAAATAGTCATTTTAGGGACATGAATGGAATTATAAAAAATGTCCATGGATAAAATAGTCATTTTAGGGATATGGATGGTATTATAGAAAATGTCCAAGGGTAAAATAGTCATTTTAGGGACATGGATAAAATTATAAAAAATGTCCAAGGGTAAAATAGTCATTTTAGGGACATAGATGGAATTATAGGAAATGTTCAAGGGTAAAATGGTCATTTTACAACCTAGGGATGTAAATGAAATTTTGAAAAAGGTTAAGGGTATAATCGAGATAGAGTCAAACAGTATATTACCCCCTCTTTGTTTACTAGGAAAACGACTTAGTAAACATTCGAATTTGAGGATAATGCCTTCATAAAAGTTATATGTTATTGTCTTGTCTTTCTAACACAATTGGAATCATCTTAAAATGAGGGTTAGAACTCGAGATATGGATAAAATACTGAACCCTACGAAATAGAGTATTAATAGAAATTGTTTTGTTTGAAGCAACAATGAATTTCAATTGAAATTTTGAATATATGAATGAGATTTTTCTAAGTACTTAATTGATGATAGACTGTTTCATTTCATACAAGGCATAAACATAGTGCATGAAATGTTTTCTGGAACTCACAAAAAAGTATTTACAAAAAAGTATTTGGAAATTTCTATTAAGTTGCTACTAAGGACGGTTGGTAGCAATAATGATGTGAAAAACAGAATTTTGAAAATATTTCTGTGAGTCAATTTACTATCAAGAGCATCTGGTAGTGGACTATGACTATGAAAATGACCGGCCAAATGAGACAGAGAATGAATTATTGAGAATCGAGCTACCAGAATCTTTGATAGTAAATGGGGGAGTAGAATAGGTAAGACAGGACCATTGGTCTATGGGGATGGACCTCTGGTCTAGGGAGTGTTTGGGCATGGACAAATCCATAAGTGGTCAGTCTTTATTTGATTTTGTGCTGTGGTAACCTACCGGGTGCACTGACACTCCGACTACTGTCTACTTGTTCGCGTTTAGTGGGGTATTGCCGAATCACCGGACAGGGTGATGTTAAGCTCTAGTTCCATTAGACACTCATATGAGTCTCCATGGAGCATTGAGTCAAAAATGATTTTTTTAGATTTTGAGTCAAGAACATGATTTTCAAGTTTTACGTTTTGAGTCACATGTGCATGTCATAAACATATTGCATGATGAAATTGTAGATTATTCATGATTTATATGATATTCTTTATTATGTTTCCATGATTGATTTATTTGTTTCTCATAAATAATTTTCGAATTAAATTATATATGGTTGTATATTTATATGTAGTTATGAATGTTTGCTTTATTTGTTGTGGGTAAAATTAAATGTCTAACCCCATAAATATTTTCAATCCCACATGTTGGTGACGTGGGATATAGGAATGTAGAATTCAAGAGATATATGTGAGATGCAAAAAAAAATCCAGAACATAGATTGATGATTGTATAATAAATAAGTATGACTTTATGAAGAACTTCACTTAAAATTTTCTATTACTAAATTAGATAAAAAATTAAGATTTATAAATATAATCTGGAAGGAGGTTACCCTATGCCATAATAGTACGATTAAAATTAATAAGATTTAAATGTTTTTATCAATTTTTTTAATGTTTTAAATAATATGTATCAAATTTTACATACAAATTTTATATTTTAAAATACTTCATTAGTATAAATTATATAAATTTCTATTATATGAATATTAGGATTGCTCCAACTTGTTAATATCATTTTAGGAAAAAAACAAATTTAAATTTTGTGCATAAAAAAACAAGAACAGGGAGAAAACATGCTAAACAAAAAACTAGTTAACTGTGTTTTTGACGGTGACCAGAGAAAGATAAATTAATGAATCACCAGATAAAGAAAGTACAATTAAGAAAAAAAAAGTAAAAATAAAAGCATTGAATTAAAATTAATTTCTTTAAAATTAATATTTAGTGTTATTAATGGAATCACATCACAGTGGCCATAAGTTTGTGTTTCTAAAGGTTTGTATAAATATATATATATATATATATATATTAATATATATTAATATTACAGTATAAATTTTAATTTGTATATTGATTTAGAAATAAATGAAGTATTAATTTGAATTGTTACCATTTATAGTAATGAAAATAGCATTTAAGGGTTGTTTAATATCCATCAAAAGGGGTTGGTTGATCGGGGAGGGAGGGGAGGGGAGTTGATTTGGGAGGGGTCTCATCCGGACCCCGTCCCGTTTTCGCTCCCGTTCAAAGGTCTTTTTTTTGACCTCTCCTTGGCCTTATTCTTCCTTTATATCTCAGTTCCCACCCATTTCTCTTTCTACCCCAAACCAATCACAAAATACAACCACTTCTATTATCATCCTCCTCCTCGTCATAATCATTTTTAATATTATAAAATTTTTCATGCTCCCCTCCTTTCTCATCTTTTAAGCGTTTTCGAGCCTCTCCGACAATGGGAATCTGCTTTTCCGCTACCAAGGTCAGTGGATCCAACGGCACCACCGCCAACGCCGCCGCCAATAAAAACCGCAAGCGCTCTGCTAAGCGCAAATCGAAGACGGCCACGGCCAACCCCCAACGGCACAAGGCATGTGCGCGGAACGTGCCGTGCGGGATGCGCACCGATTTCGGTTACGAAAAAGATTTCCAAAAGCGATACACGCTCGGCAAATTGCTCGGACACGGCCAATTCGGTTACACCTACGTCGGAATCCACAAAGCCAATGGCGATCACGTCGCCGTTAAGAGGCTCGAGAAGAGTAAGGTATTTAATTCTTCATGTCATTGTCGTTTTATTCCTGAATCTTACAATTACAAATGAATTGAGGTGAAATTAGTGATTTGAATTCATCGCCGTCTGTAATTTTAGGACTTTTATTCTTTAATTCTTGAATTTGATGGCAGATGGTTCAGCCTATAGCCGTTGAGGATGTTAAGCGAGAGGTCAAAATATTGAAAGCGCTCACTGGCCACGAGAACGTGGTTCAGTTCTATAATGCTTTTGAGGATGATTCTTACGTGTATATAGTGATGGAGTAAGTTGTTTTGGTTGCCGTTTCTTTTTTGTAGCTCTGATTTTTTAGCACTTGAATATTTTTCTGGATTTATGTTTTGGGAGCTCGATTATCTTCAAATTGTAGCTTGTTTTCTTCCCATGTGAATTATATTTGAATTATATTTATACGTGTTTGTCAGGTTATGCGAGGGTGGAGAACTGCTGGATCGGATATTGGCCAAGTAAGTATAGTTTGATTTTGGATATGATTGCAATTTTTGGAGTAGTAAACTTCAACACTTTAGTCCCTGAGATTGAGAATGTTGGCTGTTATACAACTTTTACTACAGTGCCTGATCGTGTTGAATGATGCAAAATTTACTGGAAAAGTACTAAAGCCAATGAAACACGAATCCATTAATTTGCTTCACATATTGACATCCGATATTGATACTCTTGAATGCATGTATACTATACTTAGTGGTGAAGTATTCAAGCCTTTCAAAAAAGTGATGAAATTCAACAACTCACTTGAGACATAGAACCACAAATAACTAATAATTTAATACAGACATATAGAAGCATTGCCCCTTGATGAATAAAAAATAAAAATGTTCTCTTTATGACTGACTTCAAGAAATGAGTGAGCTTGATGCTACTATCCCTATTTGCAGATGATGAATTACAAGTAATATATTACGACAATGATTTATACATTTTTTTTTGTATTTAATATTGTCCAATAAGTATATTCTTAATTTGGAATCGAAGAATTACAATTGTATTACTATGTTTTGTGAATTTTTGTATATATCTTGATATGCTTCTTACATATATTGTACTAGGCGTGACCATGGGCCGGGTTGGGCTGATTTGTCATTATTTTGATCTGTGTCGAAATTTTAGCCGGACCATTTAATTTATGTCCGAACCTGATCTTATCAAGACCCAAAACAATTATACAATATATCAATTTTACATTATGTATAGTTTAACCGTAGAATAAGATAAATATAAAACTTAAATTAAGCTTATTTTATAGATAGATATTTTAAAATTAACAAATTTACTAGAATATAATGTCATGTTTTACAAAATTTTGATTATTTATAAAAAATTATTATTAATATGAATAGTTCAAATAGCTTATATTTTCGAGAGACTATTAAGACAAAACCGGGTTGGGACTGCCTGAAACACATCTCGAACCAGTCTTAAAAAGTACATACAGTCCGTTTTCAAATTCAAACCCATCCAAATGAACATCAATTAGAGCTGAACTGGCCGATTGGGTTCGGTCATGCTCACCACCACCAAATTTTTTAAACTCTCGAGTCTCGTAAGTTTATGATCTTAGATAAAATGAGTTAAGTCGCTGTCTGACTTTTACCTGAATAAACTCGACTATATACTCTTTAAACTTGTGGTATACTCGCATTCGAAATCAAATCAAATGTATTTTTTGTCCTAATTTTACCCCCACAATGAAATGACAATATTTTATTGTACTCATCAAGTGAAAAAAATTAACTCCATTATGAACTGTTTTCTCATTAAGAACTAATGCTTTTATGATGTTTAATTTTATTTAACACCAATCTACTATCATAATTTATTATTGTGATTTGTTACTTTTTCGTTATTATGAAGTGGAGATATTGAATTATTGTTGTAATAAGAGTACCATGTTATGCATGTATATCATTAATAGATATTTAATATTATTTTATATTAGGTAAACTCTTACAAGTTGAATTACTAGTCAAGTTCATGAAAGCTCCACGAGTTTATGTAGATTCTAGAGTTTGACAACCTTGGTCACCCACCCCTACATCATATCCTACATAGTTTAAGAAACATTGTATCTTATATACATGTTGTATCTGTGCATTATTGGTCAAAGCTAACGAAACATTTTATGAAATTGGGGACTAAAATGAAAGTTTAGAAAATTCACGGACTATTTTCCCTAACACTTGTAATCTCGGGGGGCTAAAGTGGAGGTTTACTCATTTTGGTTATCTATAACTTCAGAATTTTTGTGTTGAAATTGCGGATCCATGATCAATAATGATTTGTGAGTCTATGTTTATGTTTACCAGAACTTACTTCCTCTTCATTTGGATTAATCAGGAAGGACAGCCGTTATACTGAAAAAGATGCAGCGGTGGTTGTAAGGCAGATGCTCAAGGTTGCTGCTGAGTGTCATTTACATGGTTTGGTGCACCGGGACATGAAACCAGAGGTATGGTCAAGCACATTGCATATCTGGCAAATTTTTGTAAAATGGTATTTATACTACTAGCTGCTATACGGTGAATTATTATTTTTTTCTTATTCATGCAGAATTTTCTTTTTAAATCAACCGAAGAAGATTCACCTTTAAAGGCCACAGATTTTGGTTTGTCGGATTTCATAAAACCTGGTGAGGGAAAGTCCTCATTTGAATGATCAATTTCTTTCTTTTTATTTTCTTCCATTTTTTGTATCAAACTTGTTTTCCTATTTCTTTGGTTGAGTAACAAGACATGGTCTTGCAATTTCTATTTGAGAATTCTAGTGTCTATCACTGAAAACTAAAAAAAATCATGCAGGAAAGAAGTTTAATGATATTGTTGGCAGTGCTTACTATGTTGCACCTGAAGTGCTAAAACGAAAGTCAGGCCCACAATCAGATGTGTGGAGTATTGGTGTTATTACATATATATTGCTGTGTGGGAGACGCCCATTTTGGGATAAGACTGAGGATGGTATTTTCAAGGAGGTATAGTACATTATTATCTTGTAATTTTCTGATTTTATCAATTTTGTTATCCATTCTTGTTTCTTAATGACATTATAAGCCTATGACCTTTAGTTTCGAATTTTTACAAAAGGATTTTGCTTTAATGTTTTTATTGCTGTGTATAATTTATAATCTGATATATGCAGGTTTTACGGAAGAAGCCTGATTTCAGTCGGAAACCATGGCCAACTATAAGTAATGCTGCCATAGATTTTGTGGAAAAATTACTGGTAAAGGATCCCCAGGCGAGATTAACTGCTGCTCAAGCTCTATGTATGTATCCTGTTGTTTTCTTACAATTAGAAGACTGTCTATTATGTTATTTGAGCCTTTAAGTGATATTTGTCTCATAATAAAAATAATGATGATAACAGTAATATTATTTTTAGGTGGTTCACCAAATCAAATTTAGGCATTGAATTTATAGAATTCAAAATGAACCCCAATTTTAATGCTACTTTATTGTTAGAGCTTAGAAGATTTTTTAATTTTTTTATTCAACACAAATATATAAATTTAGAATGATAACAAATATTGAACTCTACCATGTGACTATTTTTCAAAAGCTGCCTCTATCTTTTTTTCACCGAGATCAATGTGTCTTTTATTGATGTGTAATTGCTCAGTTATTTGTAATAATTTAAGTCATACAAAGTGTCTTTTTTCTTCTTCTTTTTTGCCAAAACTAATTTGCCTTAAATTGACATATGAATTTAAAATGCTTTTGTGTAATTGTGTTGCTTTGCATTATGTTAGAAGCCTGGAAAAAGTATAAGAATTTGTATGTGAGAGAGTTGGAATGTAAGATATACCTTTCAAATAAACATTATGTGACGTTTAAATGGGATGTTTTTATACGTAGATAGAATAAAATCTCATACGATATTAGAAAGTGGACTGATAGTTTAACTCAACTCTACAAAACTAAACTATGAGATAATGTTTGCACTCACTTATTATATATATATATATATATATATATATATTCGAAGTGAGATCTCCAACATGTTTTTAAAACTTAGAGCACTAACCATATCTATAATTTATCATATTTTTAAACTAAATACTAAACAAATCATGATAACCAGACAAGCTTGGATGATTTCAAGGACTGCCACTAGACAAGCTAATATTACTGGGAAAGCCATGAGGCCAAATTGGGTTCAAGTTGATTTTCTCTCTAATATTACAGTACTTGATTTGAACCAAAGAGGACATCTTTGAGTAGAGGAGGTCATGGGTTAGCTAGAGGGGAGAAAAACAATACCAAACAGCCCTAGAAAAGTCAGAACTGAGGGTGCATGAGAACCAAAAATCGAGAAACCAAGAGCACATCGGTAGGCAAACAAAATGGTGTGAGTCAGTTGCTGTTGAGAGTAGCCAGAAATAAAGAGAGATGTAACACTGTGCACTACAAAAAACAGAGACTAGTGAAATAAAAACGCCTGCACAAGAATATTGAGTACTTAATTACTATGGAGAAAAGGAGATAGTTTTTCTCCATGGGTTTCCCTTTCTGGCATAAAAGTCTCCTTCCCTTCCAACTGTAATACTATAACTACTTTCTGACTAATTCTACAACATAATTTGAAACCTATTATTGCCTCCCCCATGAAACTCTACCTTGTCAACTGTTGACAATCTTTTCTAGGCATTAGTGTATTAGAATTAACAGTTAGTCACATATTGTTCTTCTCTCCTTTGTTGAACATATTCTTTATATGGAAGAAGATTTGTGATAAGAACCTTGGGAGAATCACATCACAAAAGTTAAATATTGTAGTTGGAGAGCTCAAAGCGGTATGAAACCTGCACTACTATCCTATATTTCCAACATAGGGCTCAAGTCATACCTTATAATTTGATCCTAACATCTCATCGTGCCCCGTTGCCCTAACGCCCTTGTGGGATGCAGCTGCACTCCATGTGCTCTATTTCTCTTCCAAGGCTTCAATATGTTACTCCACCTCTCCAAAGAATAGGTCTGGCATTGGGCAAGTTGTCACAAACCTGGAAACATAAAAACAAGAATTTAGTGAGATTGAACAGAAGAGTCTAGGTCAATGTTCTTAAGGGAAGGGAGATGTAAATGTTCCTCCAGAAGTGGTTGTTAATGAACAGATAAACTAAAAGGGAAATAATTTAGTAGAGCAATAGTAATAAGAAATGTGTAAATCCTTACATAGTATAGATAATAGATTGAAGTTTTGAACCTCTAACTGCTTTCTGTCAAGTGTTCAGTCATGCTAACTTTGCTCCAAGAACATGTTAGTTTTTATAAGGATTTTGTGTACGGTTATATTCAGTGAACATGATGCATGGTATTTCTGGACAGTGGTAATGATATATGAACATCACTATATATTATATAAAATCTCATTGTTTTTGTGCCACTCAATTTACCTAACTAGCTTGCACTATATGGAATTGAATGGCTCTGCATCATGTCTTTTGTGTTGTTCAAGTAGCATTATCTATTCACAGAATTTGCAAAAGTCAAACTGTATTATTTTATTTACTACGCAAAACATTTTCATAAGTAAAGCTCTCCCTAATGTTTAACTGTTTTGGTTAAACCTGATAATTCCAGCACATCCATGGGTTAGAGAAGGAGGAGAAGCATTGGAGATTCCTATTGATATATCTGTTCTGAACAACATGCGGCAGTTTGTGAAATATAGTCGATTGAAACAATTTGCATTGAGGGTAAGAGAAATTAGATCTAGAATTTTCATGTCAGAAGGCATGTGACTTTTGACATCCAGCCTTTCTGACAATTGATTACTGTTGGAATATGAGGAAAATATCTTATTATAGATTATCCTTTGGAATTAGTTTCCCTATTTCTTCTTTATCCCTTTAATTACCATATTTCTTTATCTTATCATGATTTGTTTCCTGAAATAGCTAGTATTATGATTTGTATAAAAATAAGGTTAATGGTACAGGTTTTGTGATCATATGAAACTCATAATTTCAATAATTATCCTTCAGGCATTGGCTAGCACAATTAACGAAGAAGAGTTGGCTGATCTAAAAGATCAGTTTGATGCTATAGATGAGGACAAAAATGGTTCTATTAGTTTGGAAGAGATGAGACAGGTAGTGTTTAGTTTACTGGCTTCGTGGCTAACTTAAATCTAAAAACATCACTTATCTTTAAGTCCGCAAATTATTCTCTTAAATGTTTCCTTACTCCAGTCTAAAGGGATAATTTTGTGCAGGCTCTTGCAAAAGATCTTCCTTGGAAGTTGAAAGAATCACGTGTACTAGAAATATTGCAAGCGGTTAGTATGTTTGATCTTTTACAAGCAACACATGTAATTTTGTTTGTGGCTGCTTCTTTTCAGCCCCTATTCTACGTCTAAAATTATGGAGTTTCTTTGGTGATTGATAATCTTACTTCTATGAAGATATATGTGGCTTCCCCAAATCACTCTTTCCACTAATGCTGCTTTGTCATACTCTCTAGTTGAATATTAGTATAACTCAATCTTGTGTTTGCAGATAGACAGCAACACTGATGGACTTGTGGATTTCAGTGAGTTTGTAGCTGCCACATTACATGTGCGTCAATTGGAGGAAAACTCTGACAAGTGGCAGCAACGGTCACAGGCTGCTTTTGAGAAATTTGACTTAGATAAAAATGGCTATATTACGCCAGAGGAACTTAGAATGGTTGGTATCCCAACTTTTGTCAAGGAGACCCTACTCAACCCTTTTAGTTTACTTACCTATATTTGCATCCTTATAAGTTTACGATATTTTAGGGGGTATCTGCTTCTCAGTTTTGAGCGGTGCACATTTGTAATGATAAATGTTAAAAACAATTAAGGTAACATAGTTGCTATGGCAGCTGATAATCCTTTTTTACTTTTCAGCATACAGGCTTGAGAGGCTCCATTGATCCTTTGCTCGAGGAAGCCGATATTGACAAAGATGGAAAAATCAGCCTATCAGAGTTTCGTAGACTTCTAAGGAATGCCAGCATAGGTTCTCAAAAGTTTTCAAGCCCAAATGTATATCAGCAGAAAATCTAGAATAGAGGCACTTCCAAGGCAGAGATAAATTTGGAGATGCGAGTGCCTCTTAGTATCTTTTGTGTGATTGTGCTGAAGCTCTTAAGATTATCTTCGATTATGCAGATCTCCTCTGTGCTGACAATCTATGAAACTCAGGCTGCATGTGGTATCCTCAGAGCGGGGATTATCTCCACAATGTCACGAGGACTACATCAAGAGGTGTTTGGTAGAGTTTATGTAGACCCTCATGGACTGGATTCAGGTATTGCAGTTTCAGCCGTATCATTTGTATCGGAATTTTCTTGGTTGTGCCCCATGCATGTAATGTGTAACTATAGATAAATCTTCTTGCCAAAAATGGAAAAAACAACACTATATATGAGCATGAAATGAAATACGTGGATCAGATTCTGTTCTTTCTCACGGTTTTTCCATCTCTTTCCTTTTTTATTTCCCTGCAGTAAGCGATTGCACCCTGCTATTCTTAGTAGATACTAATGAAATGATTGTATAAATTTGGTGTACTAGTTTGAGTCTGAAATGTAATTATGTATAGTTCTCTTTTCTTAATTGGGGGGGGGAGGGAGGCAACAATGTCATCGTGGAGTCATGTGATGCCATAAGGGAGTAGTTGATGACTTGCGTTGGAGGTCACTCGTGGGTATGTGCTCTTAATTTTTATTATGATATGACATGTTTGCTTAGCAAGAAGTAGCTGCGCAGACTGCTGCATTTTACATGCATCGTTTATTGTATCATATTCTGTCAACCTCGTTACACAATACATCATGGTTCTCTTATTATTGGCAGTTCATTGCTGAAAAGTAAGTCTTAAAGTAACAACCTAGTAAAGCACGGAAATTATGTGACCCATGGAATGATAGCAGCGAGATTTTAGAAGGATAAAGAAAGATAAGATTAATTTTGAAGATACTAATACACTCTGTAAACCATCAGTGTGTTACAGCCATGTATCTACTTTAATTTTTTTTTTTTCTTAAAATACTGGGAGAGAATAAAGAAGCTACGGAAAAACAAAAGAGAACGAGGCATTCCTCACATCATCCTGAACCCCTTCCTAAGGAGGGGTAGTATGAGATAGACTAGGATCGATTGGCAGTGCGGGTTTAGTTAGCAAGGGGATGGACACATCTTTTTGCCTTTCTGTAAACAAACAAAAGCAGTCTAATATTGGGATTTAATGTTGTGGATAATTTCCCTGATCATGTCCACTACCATTTAGAGTCCATTTTAAAAATCACCCCAGGGAGAGATCTCTAGCAAATTGATACCTCTGAATAGAATCAATAATTTAGCCCAAGAAGCACTAAAATAACCAAAATGAGCATGGAAAGCTATGATAAATATACCATTGATGTCTCCAACGAGGCCACCACAAGATGTGGTAGTAGTAGAGAAACATAGAACCATTCGTGTTGGCTTTGTAGAAATGTATGAATGGAGACCAGGCAACATTATTATCATGCCTTTGTTTTTAATATAAGGGTAAGGTTTAGCAAGGTCTCTGACGATGATGAGCACTTGCCTAAGGAGAAGTCATAAGCGGTGAGGAAGATCTGTGGAATGAGTAAAAACTTGTTTCTTAAAAAGAAGTTGTTGGCTATAGAGTCAATGGGTCGAGATGGGCCCTCCAAGTATGAGAAGATCTATTAACAGGCTTAACAAATGCAAGGGATTGAAAGCCGACTCACAGGCCAAGGTTTAGCAAGTTCAATTATGCGCTACTAATTCAAGCATGTTGCTGATCAAGTTAGTGTATTCCTTATGTATCAGAGAAGCTTTACAAGTTTGGACGGTGGATCCTGACTCGTACAGGTCCAACACTCCTCTATGAGTGATACAAGTTTCATTTTGAATGGGATGATAGGATGTAGAAGCAGAAGATGTTTCTCCAATAACACTTTACAGCCTTAAGGAAGAAGACATGTTTGAAGAAATTGAAGCAGAAGCTAGCCAAGCTAAATATTTCTGTTAAAGAAAACCCACCATGTATTGTTAGCTAGAGGTTAGACTTAATGAGTAGAAGCCTGGTATTAATGGCCTGATTCTGTTGTATCAGCATTTCCAGAGGTAGATTTCCACGTGGGACTGAAGTTTGGAAGAGAAAGGTCTGCCACTACCAGACATGCCTTTTTCCTAAGACAAGGTTGAAATGTTGATTTGAAGATTCAACATGAAGCGAGTGCTGAGTATAACCTGTGGCCATTGGGGGCTTGATAGGGTAATGTGGCTATCGTGAAGGGATATTGGGAAGATCTTGCTAAGAAAAAATGCCCATATGGAAGAAATTGCCTTTCGTCTAATCATCTGTCTCATTACCAACCCAACCTTATTGGCTGAAGTCAAAATCAAGTCTTATGATATTCAGTTAAAACTATAGATGCTTTCATTTTTAAATATTAAAATTTGGTATCATTTAATTGAGAACTTCTATATCATACAGAAAGTCAAAAGTCGTCTAATGTTAAAATGAATGCGATTTTTTATTAATTGTTTTGTAAAGTGGGTCGTACGACATTTTAGTAAAATGTATGATGATGATGTCCATTTAACAATCCCCTAAATCCTTGTTTCTAGACTTACTTTCCCTCCCATCATACATACCTCTGATTCCTTTGCTGAAGGTAGTATAAATATCACTGTAGTGCTTGATCATTTATTTCTTCGTATCCTATGCACCTTCTCTACAATTAGGTACTTTCTACTTTGTTTTGCCTTTTATCAACTTGTTTTGAAGAATTCATCGTGTTCACCGCCAAAAAAGACAAGTTGAAATCGCAAATAAACCTTTGGAGGCTTGATCAAAATGCATGATATTCTACTTTTTAGGAGAATGTATTGTGAATCCATTATATTATAGGAATATTTATTGCGTCATTTATTTAGCACAATTATATTTTTGTTAATCACCATTTTTCATGCTTTTCATTTTCCTTTTTCCTTCTTTATCGTGGCTTGCTTTTTGTCTTTTCCATCTTTCTTTATTCCATTGTAACGATTTTTTTTTTATTAATATGAAACCTATTTTTGTGAAAAGATTTATTGATAATTCAGATGTAGGCTTCGCAGCAAGGAAATAACAAAGTAAAGATAAATAAAAAGAAACTAGAATTAGTTATTAAAAATTTATATATATACTTTTTCCTTACCTATCATTTTTTTTCATTGATTAATGTTTGCTAAAAATTCACTGGGCCTTTGAAATCATATGAATTTATAGAAATATATTATAAGGCGTTACATTCTACGTAGTCTTTAATAAATAATGAAATTTTATGCCATAATTATCATTAAAAAACTCCAATTATGAGATTGTAAGTTGGAGTATTTATTCAACAATGAATGTTTTGCTTCAAGGTTTTGCATCAAATAAATACAACCTTCCTTTTTCCAGTGATAGTGATCAAATTGATTGATAATGCTGATTTCATATTCACCGGTTGATAAAATATCAAAATCATATACCAATTTATTTAAAGAATTTTTTTATTTTTTTTTTACAAGTTGGGTTGTTTGGGTGTGAACACCCGTCACCTTCTTTATTTAACTTAGATATTATTTGTTTTCTCTGTTAGAGGCATTTTGTCAAAAAACAAGTATATTAATTTTTCAAATAATGACGATCTTAATCCAACCATTCTTTAGAAAAAGTTACCTTCCAGAGGAGTTCTTAATCAAAATCATACTGCTGCAGCAACAACATCCAGGTTCAATGAGATCAATCACTTCAATAATTTGAGCAGAAGAGTTTTTTTCAACATATATAACTGGAGTTTTCACATGGACTGTCTTCAACTAACGTCATATTACTTCAATAATTTAAAAAATAATTAAAGAGAATAACAATATTGTAATATATAACTTTGAATAAAGGGATTTAAAAAAAAATATGTTGCCGAAGAGAAAAATAAATAAAAGTGTCATAATTTTAAAAAATATATATTATAATTTATCTATAATTATATAAAGGAGATTCTCTCTTGTAGTTGCTTTTTGGTATTGGAGAAAAAATAAAAAATGTCATAATTTAAAAAACAAATAGTTATTATGATTTATATATTTAAAAAAAATAGTAAAAATATAAGAAAGAATAAAATATATAATACATAATTATTGAAAAGAAAAGTTGATAATTTAAAAAAAAAATAAGAGAAAAAAAAGATAATATTTAAAAAAAAAAAATTACAAACGAATCAACGTTGTGTTACCTTTATGACAATAATGTCTTTTTATCATCGTCTAATTTTTTTACTCGCTTAAGTCACGACTCTATTTATGCTTAATTAGTAGAAAAGCATACATTACATGTTAAAATTTTTTAATAATTAATATATTTTAAAATATTATTTATTTATTTTTTAAATATACTTTTTTTTCTCTTTTCATATTTTACTATTTTTCAAATATATAAATAATAATAATAATAATAATTGTTCCTTTAAATTATAATACTATTTTTTCTCTCCGATGAAAAAAAAGTTATACTAATATTAATTAATTATATTTTTTAAATACTACTTTCTTAATTAGTTATTATAAAATTAACTTAACTTATTCTTATTACAATTTGTTTACATGAAAATATCATTAAATGATTTTTTAAAATAATTATTTGTACTAACTAATTATTTTTATAGATTGTTAAAATAAATTAAAAAATTTATAATTTAAATTAAATCATATTTATTTTAGTCTAATCTATTTAAATCATGATTTATATAGTCTTAAGTCAGTATAATTCATAAAATTATAATAAATTTGTTTTATAGTATAATAAATAACTTTTAAATATAAATAAAATAATATTATTTAATTAAAAATATATATTTATTATAAATTAATTTATAAAAAATTTACATATTTTAAAAATAAATATTAAACTAAATATTTAATAATCACTTATTATAATATTTTACATCAATAAATTACTAAAAATTAAATTATAATAATAAATAGTAAATTTTCAACTTTTATTTTAAAATTAAATGAATTTATTATTTTATACTTTATCTATTAAATTATTATATTTTAAATAAAATTTAATTTCATTAATACAAGTTAATTTTTAAAAATATTTTTTTAATTTATTAAATTGAATAGGTTCAACTGAAACGGATCTAGAAATAGGTTTATTGTTTCAAAATAATCGAATTTTAATTAAACTAAAAAAGCTGATACAAAATATAGAGAATTACATACATTTAAGCCTAAACTAAAAAACAAGATAGTATAATAATACCTTGGAATTACACAACTTTTTTTTTTTTTTTAAGAAAAAAAATGCAGAAATAAACTGCTTCTGGAATTGGGTACGACGGAGTGGAGGGGGACATTGAAGAAAAGAAATTTGTTTGGAAATTCAAATTCCATTGTGTGTGAGTGAGAGAGTAAGAGAGAAAGAGTGAAAGAATGAAGATAGTGAGTTACAACGTTAACGGCTTGAGACAGCGCATAGCGCAGTTCGGGTCTCTTGGGAATCTACTAAATTCATTTGACGCCGACATCCTTTGTTTTCAGGAGACCAAACTGCGGAGGCAAGAACTCACGGCGGATTTGATCATGGCCGACGGTTACGAGTCCTTCTTTTCCTGCACCCGCACCTCCCAGAAGGGCAGAACCGGCTATTCCGGTAACCCCCTCCTTTCTTTCATTCATTTAGAATATCTCCAATTTAGTTTCCCGATTTCATTATTGTTTGTTTGTGTTTTAGATATCAAATGCTGATTAGCATATCAAACTCATTCTTTATTTTTGTTAAAAAAAAATTGATAAGAAAAAAAAAATGCTAGTAACACACTATTTTAACTAACTCTCTCTCCCTCTCATATTAAGAAATCACAAAATTTGGAGGGTCACACAACACAACTTAGTTAATGAATCTCTCCTGATTTTAAAATTTTCAATAAAGTTTAATCAATAAAAGAGAGTGGAAGAAGAATGTATCACATAATATGTTCCTGACACTCCTCTTAATATCATCATGATTGGGTCTAGCTTAAGGGGTTAGTCTCTGTCATCTTGATGAAACAAGGTTCTAATCCCTGCCAGAATAAACGTACATAGCACCCCACCTTGTCTCGAACAGGATTGCCTCAAAAGGAAGAGACTTGTGGGAAACCAAAAAAAAAAATCATTATCATGAGTGAAACTTGTCATAAATTTTATTTAATAATAAAGGACATGTTGAAAAGAGTGTACTACAGAGTGTCTAAATCATGCTTCTTAGGCAATCAATTGTGTTGAGTGTGCAGGTGTCATTACGTTTTGTCGTGTAAAATCTGCATTTTCTAGTAATGAAGTGGCATTGCCGCTGGCAGCAGAGGAAGGCTTTACTGGACTTTTGGAAAACTCTCAAACTAGGATGGATGAATTGCCGTTCTGGACGGAAGATCTAGAGGAATTTTCTAAAGATGAGCTTATAAGTCTTGATAGTGAGGGGCGATGCATTGTCACAGATCACACTCACTTTGGTGAGTACACGAGGAAAAGTTTTTAACGCTGTTGTGTGAAGCGGTATACATGAGTTTGATTGAAAAGAATGATGCATATATATTTTAGGAACTATTTACGATCCACCTTTTCTTAGAAAAACAAGTTTATATTTGTTTTGACATATTGGGTACTTGTGTTCAATTCTATTCAGTTCTTTTCAATGTGTATGGGCCTCGAGCTGCAAGTGATGACACAGAAAGGATTCAGTTTAAGCAAAAATTTTACAGCGTTTTACAGGTATTTGTAATATTCATATGTTAATGGAATCAGTGAATGGCGTGACCAAATCCAAAAGTTAATAATGAGAATGTTGATTATGTTTGAAAAAGTTTGAATAAATTCACCCAATTGTATTACTGCTAAGAAAATATGACCTGAATATTGCTTGTCCATCAGAATATGTTCAGATTGTAAGAAAATATAAAGCCAGTTTTTCAAGAATAGTATTATTAGTATTTATTTTGTGTTACCTGTAAATTAGTATAACTCGATGAACATTAAACTTCAAAAGAGTAAAGTCTACCTTTTAAAAATAGGACATGAATATCGAAGTTTATGTTCAGTGTTCTTTTATGTCTTTGTTTTGTTTTACAGAACTGAAAATTTTCATTTTTCTTTTGTTTTCTGGTTGATTGATGTTGATAGTCTCTTTAATAGAAAAGATGGGAGTCCCTCCTGCGTCAAGGAAGGAGAGTATTTCTTGTTGGTGATCTCAATATTGCCCCATTTGCAATTGATCGATGTGATGCAGGACCCGATTTTGAAAATAATGAGTGAGCTTACTACTTGAAATTGCCCCAAGGATTTTTAGTGTCTAATTTAATATGCTAATAAGTGTCGTAACTCTTTGCTTGAATTCATATGCAGATTTAGAAAATGGTTCAAATCAATATTAATTGAAAATGGAGGTAAATTTTCTGATGTCTTCAGAGCTAAACATCCTGATAGGTATGGATGATCTGTTTTGCTAAATATCAAATATTGATGTGTAGGTGTCCCCTTGGAAATTTAATGAAATTGATTCTTAATGAAAATTGTCTAGTCAGAAAATGGAGATTGGAGAATTTATTGTATCTTTCTTAAAATCATTTTATATTGTCATACTTTTTTTTATAGATGTATATAACTTTTATATGGGATTATATTGCTTTCATGTTGAAGTATCCTTTTCGATTTTTGAAATTCAGATTACAAGAATGGTATTTTTTTTTAAATAATGAACTATGTTTTAACTTTAAATCTTATTTATAGTCTTTATGTCTGACACATTTCTCTGTGCATGTGGCTTCTGGCCAGTAATAAAGCACCATCCTCCATATTTCCCCTTCTTCCTGTCTATTCAATTTAACATGGTCTTTTCAATATTATGTCGTCATACCTTCAATATGATCAATATTAATCTTGTTAAGTCGTATCTGTACATTGGGAGATTGTATGCAGAAGGGAAGCATACACCTGTTGGTCGCAAAATACAGGTGCTGAAGTATTTAACTTTGGGAGTAGAATTGACCATATTCTGTTTGCCGGTTCATGCTTACATGAATCAGATGACCTGCAACATAGTTTTGTAAGATGCCATGTCAAGGAATGTGACATTCTGACACAGTACAAACGGTGTAAACCAGAAAACACACTGAGGTAAGATGCAAGCCTTGTATGTGGAATCCTAAGCTATTTTGCTTGTGGACCCAGATGGTTATTATTTTTTTGGATGTAAATGTCACGTACTTGGTGAAACGTAACATGCCCTGTGTTTTGGATTATATCATTTGATGTTACATGTTTAAATATGTAAAGATCGTATAGCTACTTTCATGAATTGTTTTTCTTTTTTATAGTTTTCCTTTGTATTTTTTAATAGACTTGTTTATTTTGTTTTCCACTCTTAATATGGTTACTCACCTCTACTGTGTCAAATGGTTCAAAATTTGAATGCATATGTGCTGCATGTCTTCTTCAAGGTTAGGATATAACTTAACTGCATGATCCGCTCAGTGCGCATAGGTGGAAGGGAGGGCGCAGCATTAAACTGGAAGGATCTGATCATGCTCCAGTCTTTATGTCTTTACATGAAATTTCTGAGGTCTCTCTGCACAGTACTCCTTCCTTATCTGCCAGATATGTTCCCATGGTTCATGGCATACAGCAAACTCTGGGTATCAAACATTGTTTCTTCTTTGAATGAGAGTCTCTGTTCATGCACAATGTTTTGTTTCTGAACCTTTTCGTGCAGTGTCAGTGTTGATGAAAAGGAAACTTTCTGAACAAATGAAACCATGCAAGATGGCACATGAAGACTTTGCAATGGATGGTACTTGTGAAGGAGAAGAACCAGTTAACAGAGCTGCTACATCTGCAACCAGTCCCAATGAATGTCATTATGCTCCAAGTCAGGATTATGAAGGTAGCATTTCGAAACCAGACAAACTTTCCGGAGGTTCTTCCCAAAAGGCTGTTTCTAAATCAGTGAATGAAAGTGAAAAAACAATAAACCGGCAATGTAACAAACCCAACAAAAAGGCTAGAAATAGTCAATGGTCCCAGCTCTCACTTCGGTCATTTTTCCAGAAAAGTACAAATCTTGACAATGACATCAATGGCTCCTCATATACTGATTACTCAAATAGTCAGGCTGAACCCAACCCTCATTTGCATGAAACTCCTACAGTGTCTGATCCTAGTATCAGCCCCGAGCAATGTTTGTTGGATACTGATGCACGTGATCAGGATTTAGCAAACGATAGTTCCACAAAGGAAGAAAAGAGTAATGTGGCTTCATTAGAGTGGCAAAGAATACAACAGTTGATGCAGAATAGTATACCCTGTTGCAAGGGCCATAAGGAACCTTGTATTGCTCGGGTGGTGAAGAAACAAGGACCTAATTTTGGCCGCAGATTCTATGTTTGTGCTCGTGCTGAGGTAATCTGTTTCCATTGAGTGGTTTTAGACACTGCTTCTTACTCTATAGAATTATTCTTCAGAATTGAACTATTGTTTTGTGAGGACTCAACTTCATCCATCTGTCAATCAAAGGAATTTAATCACTTATTAAAATTAGAACAATCTTGATCTTTTAGTTGTTTTCAAGGTAGTCAAACTCATTAGTTTATGTAAGTTGGTAAACCAGCGATACAGCAATTTATTTATAGGTACTAAATTACAGGGTACCATCTTTTAGGACCAAAATAAGCTTTTAGTTTTGTAAGAACTAACATACATGCCCCATATAATAACACAAGAAAGATAATAAACATCACTTGTTTTATGGGACGGATCGGGGTTTCAATGACCGATCTTGAACTTGTCACGAGTCTACTCGAGTTATCATATTATAATTTTCTGTTTGACACCTTGTGTTTTGTGGGTTTGTCATCTCTTAATTTGTGTATCTCCAGCCTATATAGTAGGTGGCGAATATTAACGTAGGTTTTCCACTTACAGGGCCCTGCGTCTAATCCTGAAGCAAACTGCGGTTACTTTAAATGGGCTTCTTCAAAGTCTAAGAACAAATAATGGGAGAGAATGGATGATTCAATTGCCCTCATCCAACATTCTTTCATAATGACAATGTGAAGCTGAAATACAAAGTTCCATGAAGGAGCTGCGTCTCATCATCTGTGTCACCATTTGGACAATCGGCTGTGAATTTTTTGTTGGGTAGAATCAGCTGTTGCCACCATATATGAGAGGAGTGCTAGCAACACTCTTTTATTGGTTAAAATTTTTTAAAAAATCTAAAATGGGGAATGAAGCTTATTTATTAATAATAAGTTAGACCCTCATAATTTTATGATTTTGAACAAATTTGACCAATAAAGGAGAACAATTAAAGGGTAGAATGAGGCTCTGTGAGATGTTCTACATCAATTGAGGTCTGTGAGCTTAAGATCCCTTTTTTCCAATATCTTCTTTTGGTGAAGAGCTTAAATACCTTTAAGGGGGGAATTAGCCACTTGAAGTGACAGAATTTTGTTCATTATCTGCATGCATGGTTATGCATAACTGGTAAAAGCAGACACGTTGTCTTTTATGTGGTTTAGTTTCGATTTTTATTTTGTTGCTACAAATTGTGATAGGTGACGAGTCGTAGTACTTCTCATTTTGGTCCAATTCCACAGAAACAATTCGTGGAGTATTAACATTTTAATCTTCTATTTCTAAATAAAAGGAAGACAGCTCAATCAAGTTAAACAACACCAACTAATAACTAATATAAAAATTATTAGTTAGTCTAACTTATCATTATTCAAAATTAATCATAATTTAAATTATAACAACTCAAATTACTTGGGTGCGGATGATATTAGAAATTAGAATGTTGGGGAACTATTTACAGTAATTTTTAATGAATTAAAAGCATGTACATTTCATTATATTTAATAAGAATCTATTGTAATAAATTCATTTAAATTTAAATACTATTGAATGTGAATAAATTAAGAAAATTTTATTATACAAATATTCAATTAATAAATTTACATAGTAAACAATATTTTACAAGAGAACAATTATGTATTGGAGATTTAAGTAATATATAAGACTTACATACGTTTTAATCTTTGTAAAATAAACAGGTTTTGATTTTAATTCTTATAAAAGAAATTGATTTTTATTCTTAAAAATGTTAAAATAAATTTAGTAGATACTCATTAACTATTATGTATATTTAGTAGATAGATGATCAAATGATTATCGGATATTTCCTGGCGTTTTTTTTTCTATTTTTTGGTAAAATGCTATGTGAAACCTAAAAAATATAGATTTATAAATAAATATTATTTCTTTATCTTAAAATGAATTTTAGAGATTAAAATATTGATTTCATATTTTAAGGAAATTACAATTAAAAAATATTTTACAAAGATTTCAACTAAACTTTGATTGTTTTAACTTTTAAGGGACAAAAACAATTTTATATTTTAGAGGGTTAAAAAATATAGTAATGTTTTATAGCAACCAAATTAAATAACTTATTTTACACAGTAAAAATATATTTATGTTAAAATTTAGTATATTTATACTTACTCACCTGCTCAATTTTCCTTTTTCAGGTGTTAATGCATTTAATTTTAATTATACTGTGTAAATTGAAAAATTAAATGCATTAGATTTTTCTTAAAATTCATATATTTTATTTATTATAATGTAAAAATATCAATATATACATAGTTTTTTAATATATGAAATTCACAATAAATTGGTTTAATTTTTATTATAAGCATGCGAGTCAAAAGAGAATCCAAAACAAATAGAAATGGTAATTTTTAAATTACCTTAATTAATGATTTAATTGTTTCTCAAAATTTTAAGCCAATAAATTACACTTACATTACAGAAGTAGAACTTATTTTAACCAATAAAATTTGACATAGTTAAAATATACTTCATCCATTTTTTTATCTGTCATGAATTTTGTCATGCATACGGATTATGAAATATAATAAACATTTTTTATTCTATTAAAATTTTATTGTTGTCCTATTACATCGTTTTCTCTCCTCTTTATAAATTCAAATCACATTAAGTGTAAATGCAAGATTTAACTCACAAAATATAATTAAGACCATTTTAAACTTTGAAATGTGACCATTTTTGTAAAAAATTATGACAAAATAAAAAAACGAAAGGAATAACTAGCGATTTTCTTTTTCATTATACATAAATATATTATTTAGTTTGGATAAATATGTATATTATTTACAAAGGATTTAGTGTGAGTGTTATGAAAAATATTTTACCTGGTGCATGTATTAAAGACGTATTTTTCAATATTGCATTGTAATATGAATTCATGTTTTCGATGGTTGTGATTTGTATTCTACATTCAAAGTAATATCACAAAATCGTTTATTAAGAATATATATTTAATACAAATATTTGCATAATAATTAAGTCATGAAATCATTATACGGTGATCATTTCACTACGTACAATAATAATTGAAATTTATAGTTTTTAATATTTATTTAAATGTTGTATCGCGTTTCTCTTTTTCAAGTATAAATGGAATATAATACATTGCTAATTAATTTAAGCGAAACAATTTAAAACATTTGTCAATTATCAAAAGAAATATTTCTTATATTTATAAATTCATTTGTCGTAAATAATTCTTCTGCACTTTTTATTAACTTAGATGGTATATTTTGGAGAATTGATACTTTAATAATAAAAAAGCTATATAATACTATCTCTTAAAAATAAACTGAATTTACAATATTAGTTATTTGTAATATATTTTTTTTTCAAAATACACTTGATAGTAATCTCACAAAATAAAGAATAGAGATGATAATTTTACTTAAAAATAAAAACGTTTGTTTTTTATTCTAAATGAGAAAAAATGCATTTTTATTCTAAAAATATTCTTTTGAAATTACAATTTTTTTAAGAATGACATATTATTGATTAAGTACTGACAAATAGTATTTAAAATCCATTAGTTGGCATAATAAAAGAAAAAGGAAAAAAATCCATTAGCTTAAAATACAACGTCCAGAAGCAGAGAATAAAAAATGTATGTTCAACTAAAAAAGGAGAATTTCTACAGGAGACAGATAAGTGAAATCCTTCCATATGATCATTTTTTGTACAACAGGAAAGAGATACAGATTAGAGAAACATATACAGGAAGAGTTGAAGTGACCCAATACAATTCTTCAGCATGCACCTTCAAGTCAGGTTAAGGAAAATTGTTAATTCTTAACAAACTTCAACCCAGTTCATGCCACAATTTGAAAACATTACCAACCAAGATCCGGTCATGATGAGTCTCAGATACCACTTCCAATTTTAAAATCTGAAAGAGTGGCAGATTCTCGAGCCTCAACTGTTGATGGTGCTTCCTTCTTGTCAAGCCCAAAAAAGGAGCAATTCTGAAATGCATCCAGGCTGCTGGCTATCAAGCGATTCAGTCCACTAAGACTATCACTAAAAATTAGATCTTCGCTATGGTACTTAGTCGATGATGGTATATCCAAATCCAAAGGTCCCAACGAATCAGGCTGCAACATGATAGAATCAAAAGACATAGTGAGAAATGAAGTCAGACGCACAGTATATAACAGCTGAAAAAGTTTTTGAAACTCCGATTTATTTTTATTTTTTTATGGTTCAGAGTAGCAGACTGTAAATATGTTGGTAATAACTCCCAGAGATAAACTTCCGACGAATTGTCTTGCTGTAAGAGAATCTAAACAGTCACAAAGAAGCCAATGGGCTTTGACAGTGAAAAAACTTGAGTATAGAAGAAAAATACCCAATACATATCTGCAAGCGCACTAAAATCCTTTCCTAAATGATCCTGGACATCTGCATCAGACTCGGAGCTGTCCATAGGCATAGGGTCAGTTTGAGCAAAATCATCCACAAGCCTCTCTCTTTCGGGCGACAACTGCAATATATACTAAGAAAATTAAACCTTATTTCACTTCGCAAATAATGTCTAGTAATAACAATTAAGATGCACTACCTCATCCAATTTATCAAAGCTTCTTTCAGGAACCTTTTTTTCAGATTCTAAAGAAGCAATTGGAGACAAACAAGGACGATCTACATGAAGAATAGGATCTTTTCTAAATAAAAAGGCATCACAAGTTTCTTCAGCGTCCCAGATGGAAGACATATGGGATGCCAGCGATGATTGTTCCATCTTGTCTTGGTGTCTAGAAATGTGAGCAGCAATAGCAGCATCAAAAGAATCACTACTAAATGGAAGTTGCTGAACATCGTGACAACTCTCAGCAATAGGAGGATTGATGCAATCATCTTCGAGATCCTGGGACACTCCTGAAAGTAGGTCCCCCACACTAATGTTGGTAAGGCTGTCAGCCCATTCTCCAGCTGACAGACCTGTTCCACTGCTTAATTTTAACTCATCCTAAATACAAAGAACATAAAAGTTTATGGAAGTTGATTATATAAATTATGTAATTTAACTAACCAGATAAAATAGTCCGGTGAATGTATACCACTCAACCTGGAAGTCCATAATTGAAACATAACAATCTAAAACAGGAGGCAAGAAATATCCAAAAATCACAAGAATTGAGAAAACTTATATCATAAAAGCCAAAAAGGTACAAGGCAACACATGAAGATGCTATGGCACAAGATGAAAGTCTAAAGTAAAACTAATGGGCTAATAAAAGAAACAAAAGTTGAGAGGATGACAATTACCATGTCTTCTAACTGTGTAGTTACAGCTCCATTTCTAACATCTTTTTCATGCCACAATGTGTTGGCCGTGGGACAACGAGATTCCTCACTGCTTTTACTCAGGTAAGCAGTGTTGTCTCTAGTGTTAGGCAAATCAGTTGAAGAGGACATAACAGTATGGTTGGATATTCTGCAATCAGTTGATGGTGTAGGAAATGAAACCGAATTCACAATCTGATCCTTAGAATTGCACACACTACTTTTCGACTGCCTGAGCATGGAGCCGGATGCTACAGGCACTTGCATATTTAATAACCCAAGTTCAGTATTGGAGAACCAACCATACCTACACAAAGAAAAGTAAATATCATCATTACCATGTAAATACACAAAAACATACACAGATACTCCTGCTTGGTGTCAGGTGTGCTTCAAACATGATTATACAAAAACAACTTATGCCCAACATTGCTCACTAGGTGTTCTAAACATTTAGAAAACAAAAATTAAATTTAATACAAAATATAAAAAAATAACATATCTTCTCTTTTTAGGTTCATTATCATAGGATGAAGGAGAATAAAACTACGTTAAATAATGCCTTGGTCATCTTTGCAAGGTTCATTATCATGGGAAGGTGAAAAACTATATCTTGATTATAAATTTAAAATATTTCCCATGTTGATCATTTTACTTTTCGCTCCAATTTATGTGTATGTCAGCATATGTCCCAGTATCCTATATTTTGGATATCAGGTGTTGAAATATCTATGTCAGAGTCCGTGTTTTGTAGCCTAGGTTGACCAATGTATAGGCTATGGGTTTCTCCAAGTGAAGAAAGAGGAAAGGAATTTTTTTCTACAAAACATTTGACTTTAGTCACATTTACATTTGTATAATTATCTCAAGTTTTGTGCATTAAAATTTGATCACAATTCTATCTATATTCAAACCAACGAATCAAAAAGCTAGGACTGGAATATATTCAAATTATATTCCATATTTATTATTTTTAATCAATCCCATGCATCTTAATAAAATAGGCCACCGCATGTTGCAAACTAACCTTTCATGCTGTTTTCTTTTCTCATGAATGTTTTCCAAATTCCATCACTGAATTAGTTTAACACCATTTAAAACTGTATTCAATAAAGGTAGAGTAGCTCACATGGCTTTCCATTTATAGCATTTCTTGTATGTAAAGAATCCCGAAACATTTTGCTTGTTTATATATCGCATGGATTTTCACATGTTCTTTTATCAAAGTAATAACTATATTAAGAGCATTACAATTAATCAACCGTCTTACATGTCACTATTTAGTTGCTTCAAATATAACAATAAACCAAGAGGGAAAGATAAAAGAGGTACCTTAAACGAAATATGGGTGGACTTCCAATCATTGCATATATGTCAGCTGCATTAAAAGTAGATTCCTGGGTCCATCTCTGATAATTAACCAAGTTTTCCCTTTGAATACCATAAGGAAAAAGCATTAATTCTCCAACTGCTATGCTTGAATGACCCCATTTGCGGTTTAGGTGTTCCAAAATTGATGATATCTTCTTTCGAGTACTAAGTGTAAGCTCCAGGTGTGGATTATGCTTATCCTAGGAGAAAATAAATAAATATGTTTAATAGTTTCTACAAGCACTTTTGCATTGCCTCAGTAAGAAGTTCATTTTGTTTTCTTTATACTCACTATTTCCAATGCTCTTCGAGTAGGTTCATCAATTGGGAATAACTGGAGCTTAAGTTTCATACTACTATTCACACTGTTATCAACAAATTGATTTTGTGGACATACAGGTAAAGAGGGCAGAACATAATCAGCAGGATCAGAGCACTTTTCTCCTGGAATAAAAATAAGAGTGACAGTTACAGAAGATATGAAAAAAGCACTCGTAGAAGAAAGGATAGGATAAAACAAAAGTGTGATAACTACCTGGATTCCCCTGGTCTTGTTCAATCTCTCTAACAGTTGCAGCTCGCTCCAAATGCTCTGCAGCATCGGCAACTAAAGAAACACCAGCAATTGCAGCTTTCTCCCATTTTTTATATGCTGCCGTTGAAATCATACCTGATAGAGAGAGAACATTTTAATGAAAGGAGTAAAAAAATTTGACTTGCGGAAATTCACTTTAAATATAAATTATCCAATACTCAAGAAGGAAAAACCAATTCAAAGTAGAAAGCCAGTAAAATATATGTTGAAGGGGAATCGAAAAAGAATCACCAGATTTCTTTCGTTGCCTTGTTGGTTTCATGGTGTTTGAATCTCCTTTAGTGTTACTGCGGCTAACACCCATGTTTATATTGCGCTTCATTGATGATTTTGAAGGTCCCAATTTTAGAATATTTTGACTGTCAACAAGAACAAGTTTAACAGCACGGGCATCATTTCCTGATGCTCTACTTTGATTTGAGACTGTGGTAGGCACAGGAGGAAGACAATTTCCCCCCTGCAAGGGTCGCTTCCTTACATTCTTCTTTCGGTCCTTCAATAGTTGGTGCTCCTTTGCAACAAAAAATATAGATCAGCTCCAGAAAAACAGAAGATATTAAAAAAAAATTCCCAGACAAATATAAATAGCCATAACTTACCAATGCTTCTAAAAATATTTTAAATCTTCGGGGCTTCAGGTGAAGCTTGGAGGCCTTGCAGCTATACTTTTCTAATAAAGACCACCTACATCACAGGTAAAAGTGAGAGACTTTCAATGCTGAAAACTCCCATAATAATAGTAGTATACACCTACTCTTGTTCAGGAAATTAAAATAATATGATAAAATTATTGTTGTAAATTAAGGGGTATTGCAATACAGAGAACGTGTTCTCACACGTTGCAGAAGACTGTTTCAGAGAAAGTTGCAAAAGACCGTTTCAGAGAACGTGTTCTCACACGTTGCAAAAGACACACACGTTGCAAAAGACTGTTTCAGAGAACGTTGCAGAAGATTGTTTCAGAGAATGTTACAGAAAACATTATAGACCCACTACCAAGTCTTCCCATAACTGCTACAGACTTTCTCTTATAAATAGAGACCACTTCATACTCTTCAAGACACACATCTCTCATCTTCTCTTCTTTTCTCTTCTCTGATCTTCTTTCTGTTATCCTGGGTTAATTTACTCTTTTGAGAGTTTCTTGCTAGTTTCTGAGATCCTCGGATATTCTGAAAAGTTCCTGATGTATCCTGGGGGACTTGCGCAATACACCGCGGATAAGTCCTTAAGGACAGTGATTATACACGCCTTAGGAATAAAATTTTTTCGTGTCTCTGTCAGCTTTTACAACAATTATAACATGCACGGTCAATATAAAAATGTTGCACATTATAATAAAATGATGTATTGCTGATACGCACCCATTACTATGGTGCATAGTAGGAGAACAATTGACTCAAAACTAATACAATCAATGAGGAAAATATAAGTTGGCAAGGGGATTTGAACGGTAGCCAGCTGACCACATGTTGGCAAGAGAGTCATGAAGAAAAAGATAATGAATTGGTTTAGGAGACAAATGGATGAAAACAACAGGATAGGTAAAGAGGAGCGGGCATGAAGTGATTGAGGTAGACAAGATACAGCAGGCTTGGGGAGATTCTAATTCCCCTTGTTATTTCTTTTTTTCTTCATTTCTATACAATTTTAGCCTTAAGTAGAGGGATACCTCTTGTATGGAACTAAGTCTCATTTATTTCTAAGGTCAATTCCGAATTTCTATTGATTGCCATAACATTTAATAATTTTCACATTTCATGCCATCGTTAACGAGCATTAACTGATATGAGAATAAATCATTGGATGATGGTGTAAGCTGTAAAACTCTTTTCACTTAGTGTATCAGAATAAAACTCAAATCAGGTTGACATTCCCACATTTCCATAGCATAGGGTCTCTGATTAGAAAATATGGTTAAAGTCATTATACCTTTCATTTATTTGAGAAGAGTTGAAACAAGAAATATGATATGTGGAAATGTAATAATTTCTCATCAATTAAAAGTTTCTGAAACTACAGGAGACACGTAAGAGTGATGAATGAGCGAGGGAAAATGCCTAGATAACGGATGCAGACAATTTCAGTCTCAAAATCCACTGTCATTCACTGAGTCACTAAACAGTCCAATCTAATCTCAAATTAGACGGGTCTTTAAGCAGAGCAGTTTTGTGTTCTAAAGCATATTAGTCAAGAATTTCACCCCTTAATATTTTCTTGATACCAAAAGGTTTACCCTTAAGATCTAGGCTAGATATCTAAGCATAAATTTATGTACAAGGAAATGTTCCCTTCCCATTATCAACATGTTCTTTCCACTATGTTCCTTACATCTATACAATAAAATCATAAGTTCCAGTTCTTCACCCATCCTCCATCATAAGTGCTTGACTTATTTAAAAGAAATAACTTCTTGGTGGACACATATATATAAAGCCATTTAACAAAACAAACAACCACTCTAAAATTGTTACCAGCGAAGCATTGCAGCATTAGTATCTTTGGAGTTTTTGGCATCCAAACATAGTCCTGGACCAAGAAGTTTGTTCATCCGCCTCACAAGCCGGTAGTAATAATGCCTGACCTGCAAGTCAACCCCAACACAAAGAAAAGACTGAGAAAACTAAAACAGGCCATGTTAAATTCACAATAAAACTAAACATGATCATTTGGGGGAATAGGAAAATGGAAAGGATTAAAAAAGCCACATGGAGTTGTATCGGATACCTGATCCTTGTTTTTACTTTGTACACGTGAAGTAATTTTCTCAAAATTCTACACAGAAGAAATTTCAATCAGCGATCATTACATGCCATAAGGAACAAATACAGAAAGATAATGACACCAGCGGTAACAAACCTTCCCAACTTGTCGTAATGCAGTGAAGAAACTTTCCTCCTCTTGTCGAGTCCACGCAGCCCACTGCCTGGTTGGTTTTTTTGTAGCTATACATGACACAAAGTAATTAAGACTTTAGCTTCTCATCTCAACAACTACACATGTCAAACCCAACTGCACATCACATGAAAAATAGAAAAGATGCATGGAACTGACCTGCCTGCTGAGTGTTAACAGCATTTGAAACAGATGAGGAAACATCAGGATCCCCATTCAGAACTGAGACAACAGGCTCAGGCTGAAATTGAATATTCGAATCATGGAAGATTTGCACCTCCTCAGCCTCCATTTTCCTCTTCTATTACATGCTCCTCCTCCTTCTGCTGGAGTTCATTTTCCAATTCAAAATTACGAAAACAAACAACTCCATTGAAAATTAAAATTATTAGAGTACAAAAATCATGCCTCAGCTATAACTCAGGATCATTCGCTCTGAGGAACAGGGATCATAATTATTGAATACAGGTACATCTCATAGAGCACAATGCAGGTCATAGACACAGAAAAATTAATTCACACTCAAATTAGTTTTTCACACAGATAATATTCGCAAACAATTAAATGATTCAAGAAAAGAATTTTATTCGAATTTCATCAAACTGAGGAATAGGAATCGAGGATCTAACACGAGGAACATCATCAAATTGAAGTTCAGGAACGATCTGTTTTACCTTGTGAGCCGATGTCTTTTTAGTTTCGAAAACGGAACAACGGAGCAATTGCGAGATGCTGAGCGTGGAGGGTAGTGAATTGAGGGGAAAATTGAAAATCTGCAAACCCTAACGCGACGTCGAATGATGATAGAAGAAGCAAGATCGACCAAGCTGCATCTTCTGTTCTTCTAAAGCTAAACGCTTCGTTTCCAGTCGTTGCAATTTTTTTTTTAAAATCAAATATTAACAATAGTCCTTTATTCCTTTAGTATTACACTTCGGTCCTTTAATAAGAATTTTGAAAAATTTATGGTTTTTAAAATAATATTAAATAGCGATAAATTATAAATAATACTAATAGATAACAATCTTTGCACAAACTATATGTAATAATTTTACAACTTATTCTAGTGAAAAAAAAATTGATAAGTTTTTTTACTTGTTCAGTTCAGTAAGTAAATATGAAAAAGTGATAGCATATTTTGTTAATTGATGACAATACAAAATTTTGTATTTTAACATCATATTTAGTATAGAAACATTATCACCGTTAATAATCCATAATAATTATTTTTGTTTTATAAATCTTATTTTGGCTTGTATTAACAATCACAATAACTTTACTCACAAAATTGTCATTTTTGAATTTAAGTTATGATCTTAATTTTTTGAATTTATATATTTATAATTATGTTATTAATTTATCATAATTCTCTTAAATTTGATAAAAAAAAAGTGATTTAATTTGAATGTTGATCTCCTCAACATTTAACTGAAATCTAATATCATTTTTTTCAGTTGAAATCTATTTTGATTTTGTCATTATTGGAATTGATATTGTGTCTTTTTATAATTAAAATATTGATAATAAATAAATATGAGATAACTTGTAATAATTATAATTGAGACTAATAATAATAAATGGACAAAAAAGTATAACAAGGACACTTATCAGCAGATCTTGATGATCATGGAAATAGGAAAAATATGATAATTAATTATAAGTGGAGAGATTTTGATTAATCGAGAGTTTAATATAAAATATGTTTGTTGTGATAAAAAAAAGGAGACTATTGTTAATTTTTGAATTCTCTTTGAACTTATTTCTTTTTTTTATTCATTCTTTGTTCATTTCCGTTCCTGTTCTGCCTAGGTTATTCTTTATAATCCTTATATTACTGTATATGTATTATATAATATTACTCCTACATATAATTATATAATTGATTATTTATGTATATGTATTATATAATATTACTCCTACAGATAATTGATTATTTAATAATATTGTAAAATTATCACGTAATCATGACATTAGATTATATTAATTATTGTTTGAAGATATAAAGTGTTGGAACAATAATAAAAAAAATAAAAGCAAACTAATAAAAACATACCACTTGAATAAGATGATTCCAACTTAGGTTAAAAAAAATAAAAAATAAAATAGATGAAAATAAAATAGGTGATAAAATGAAAATATATGAGAAATAAGACCTAATATCTTAATATCCCTATCAAGCACCCTTAACTTTTTATTTCCCACAAATTTCTTTGCTCATCACTTTATAGGATTTGATATTTGTATTTAAACTATAAACAATACACTAATATATCCATTTAATTAAAAAAAAATTATTCATAATTCATTCTATAAAATACGTGTAATTCATTTATTGGCAATCTTTTAATATTCAATTAATTCATGAAAATTCTTAAAAAAGAAATTATCATTATTTAAAAAAAAATACTCAACTATCCACGAAATATTTTATATTCAATATCAAGCAAAGAATTTTTAATTCAATTATGATCAAGAATCTCTCTAGATCTCAACTAAATACTTGATCTTCATGAAAGTATTTTAACTCCATCTTCAATTAACCATATCGATCAATTGATTATGGATAAGTAGATAATTGTTTTAAACTACACATTTTTTTGTATTATAATAATTTAACCACCTCAGATTAAGTGGTAATATATTATATTTACTTAAAAACCATATTTATCTTAGAATTTTTTTCATCTTACCTTACATACTAGGTTTTTGCTTTTAGATACATATTTCTCTATTGTTAATTTTTTTTCAAGCTTTAATGAACATTTTGAAATTTCTTTAGCTTTAAAAACATGTAGAATTAAAATCGAATTCAAACTATCATAAACCAAAATCAAATGTTTTTAGTCGTTCATACATACAAAAATTGTCATTAAAATTTTAGAACAGAGAACTAAAACGACATATTTATAAATGTTATAATAGCATAAAACTAGACATTTTACTCATGACAACAATGTAATAAGTGAAAGTGTGACAACGGTGGTTTAAGGAGTACATGTGTGGGATAGAAACTATGGATTTAAGGAAAATGTGCATTAAATCTAACCCAAAGCTTAATGTCAAACTATAGTTACTATTATTCATTATTATTGTTTTGATTCTCCTTTGACCAAACAAAGATGTGAAGGTGAGGGAGGTGATATTGTTTCTTATACTTATGGAACTACTATATCTCTTTTAAATAAAACTATCATTTAAAGTATGGATAGCAAAACGGGTCAGGTCAGCCCGCCATAATATGTCGGGACGGATTGGTATTTTCAATCCACCAGCCCGCTTTGGTCCGCGCCCACCAAACCCGCTAACTCGTGAGACGGGACGGGTCGGCCGCGACACTGCCTAATTAATAAAAAAAGAATTTTTTATTATAATAAAATTAATTATAAATATAATATAAAGTTAAAAATTTTAAAAAGAGAATTAAAAAACTTTCACTCTCACGGAAAATATTCTCCTTACTTGAAACACATCATTCTTTCTTGTTCTCCTTGTTCATCCTAAGCACGGGTTATTTTTATCCTTATGACTTGAATTAAAGGTGTAAGATTTACTCAACCAAGAATAATGTGAAATTTTATCAAATAAAAAAGATATAGGTATTTGAATTTTTCAATATAAAAAATATAAATTGTATAAGTTTTAACATTATATATATATATATATATATATATATATATATATTTGTTATTATGTAAATTTTATTATTGTTCTAAATTATAATTTCTTAAAACAATATATTAATTTATATTATTAAATTGAAATAATATATATATATATATATATATTGAATTATTAACAAATAAATAATAATCTTATTATTAAATTTATTTTAAAAAATAATTTTTTTTCTAAATTATGGCGGATCAGCCAGCCTTTTAGCGGAACGGACCAAGATCTACAGATCAGTCATGACTAAAACGGATCAGTCGCCGCTTTTGGCGAGCCAAAGGCGGGACAGGCCAAAACGGGATCCCTAATTTAAATATCCTATTCCAAATCTCATAATTGCATGTTGTGTATGTAATCATGACTCAAAAGTTTGCCCAGTATATATTCAATTATATAATTCTAAAACTAATTTGAGTGATTGCATATTAGAAGTCATTGGTTAAATGCAAGACATTGAAGACAATATTAAATAAAGTTTCAAATCAAATTTTGCACTCTAATAAATATAGAAAATTTGAAGACTACTTTTATGCTCATATGACATTATAAACTTATTTTATTTATTGTTTTTGACACTAAGAATATCTAAATTTTAATAGGTAAACTTGATATGCAAATGGTGGGAGATCAAAGTGAAGATGAATACAAATTATACAAGATAGAGGTGAAAAATATGAAGAATAAGAAATGGAAGTAGGAGAAAGTTGAATTTCTCTTGATAAACTTTAAGTAAAAAATAAAAAATTTCACAAATGAGATTCATCTGTTTACATGCTTAATTAACCCTCAGATTGAAATCCAAATCTTAAGGATTTGATTAGACAAAATACATTACAAAAAATTTTAACTTTGCTTCTAAATTCTAATAATCCACCAGTGGAGCCACAAGAGCGAAGAAAAAAAAAGAATTCTTAATCTTAATCAGTCTTGAACAACAACAGATTTGAGACAAGCACTGGACAGAAATTAAAATTAAAGAACTACCCATATAGTTTCAAGATATATTTAATCCATGATCAATAAGATACCTGAAAACAAATATAAGAATGTCAGCATGGAAATCAAGAGATAGCAGAAAACAAATAAAAGAAAGTCAGCATGGAAATCGAGATGGAAAAGTAAACCGAATGCCCACAAAGAGACATTATTACTATGCAAGACATACAAACCCAAGTTATTTGAAAATATAGAGGAATAAACGATCTGAAATCAGGCTTCCCCTTGTTTTTAGCAAGGAAAAAGGGTGGTTTATGAGGGAGAGAGAGAAGTGGGGGAGGTAAGCAACTGGTGATACAAACTGCTTTTAGAGATTGCAATAAGGAATTGGACCGTTAGGTTCTGGCTTTATGCAACTTGTGAGGGACCAATGCATTGTAGTACAACATTGCAAGCGATACCTTCCCTACCATTATGCCAGTAAACACATAATCATAGTAGACAGAGACTAGTAACAAACATAATCATAGGGATGGATATATATATATATATATATATATATATATATATATATATATATATATATATATATATATATATATATATATATATATATATAGAACATGTATCACACAAGATTTTGTTGAAAGAAACAGGATCGTAGAAATAAAAGTCCAAGACATAAAAGCAATATGAGTCTGGCACTTGCCTAAAGGATCTGAAATGGATAGATGTACAGTTGACAGGTTGTTGTTTTGACATTTTGATTACTGCTTCGAAAGTTGCTCTCTCTTGGGTGACTTTCCCCAATTTCCAATTTCAAATTAAGGTGATAGATACAGAGGTAAATATGAACCACTAGACACTCAAATCCTGTGCAACAGCTCATGAATTCACACCTCATAAAGAACAAAAATAAGTAAATATGGCCACACAGCAATGTACTAAGACATGTGAACATGTACACTTTTTCATTTACGACATGTAAATTAAATTAGCCTTTAAAAAATAGTTACTTATTGCTTCTTATCTATCCTAACATAAAAAGTGATGAAGGATGTTATAGCTCTCTGGCAAGCAGATGGATTGTATCAAATAAAAAGAGACAATGACAAAAAGGAGAATACAGGTATGTCTTCCCCTTTTCTCACACTGTCCAGTATAGTAAGCAGTTAAAATCTTAACCCATGTATCGTATTCATTCACTGTTGGGAATGATATAGGTATCCCAGGAATGATTTGAGATATCCCAAAGGAGAAAAACCTTTGCAGGTTCATAGTAAAAAAAGGAGAGGATTAGTGAGGAAAGGATGAAGCCTGTAATTGTTTGTACAGGGGGTAGCCGAAAGTTTGTAATAGGTTAATGTAATACCTATAAGTAGGCCATATATTGTAGAATAGGGGGACTTTTTGGAAATATTAATTGTTTTGACTGGACTAAAATCTAGTGTGAAGGGAGGCTACTTTGGCTACTTTTGTACTTTTCTTGTTTCTGTTTTCAATAAATAGGTAATTTCAGAGATTCAGTGTTTCTTCTCCCTGTTTGGGTTCTATTGTTACCTCTCAAAAGAGATTTCTAACATTCCGTTAGAAATTAAGCATTTATTTTAAGTCATTCAAAATATTTGTTGAAGGTGACCAACTCCAAAAAATGACTTAACAGGTTCTTTAAACCATGGATCAGTATGATAGATATATTTCATAGAGGTGCATCCCCCACAAAACCTGAGCAAGTACAAGTAGCTGTATCTTGTAAAATCAAAATTATGGATTGAGTTCAGACAAACATTTTCCTACAACATGATAGGCAATCACACATCCCACAAACAAACAGTATTAACACTGGGATTCTTTCATCCATACTCTAACAAGGGCTTTGTCTTCCCACTAAGAATCACCTCCACTGCCCTACCATGTGAAGCAAACTTCTAATTTAGTCACACATAAAGTCTACACCTAGCATGTGTTCTTGAACAAATAATAATGTGTATTAATTAAACAATCACTCATGGTACTCTTAAAATGCCAACCCATCATACTCGCTTATCAATGCGACTTTCCCATTGAACTAATCAAATTTCTAACACCCAAACGCACTAAAATAATGTTGTCAAGAGTGTTAGGGCCAAGCTTGTGTCTTTGTGAAGCTTTTACATTTGATTATCAAACTTTTCCGTCACATTTAATCATTCAACTTTCTTTATCCTAATTGAGTGAACTCACCAAGCTGCATCTCAGCCTTTTTGCTCCATCAATCAATCTGCATTATCTTTCGTTTCCAGTGGAAACACAGATTTTTGTGCTCTGACAGGATTTTGACTTTATTATTGGCCCCTTCAAAAAAATGAAAAGAGACCTAGGAAATTTGATGAATAACCCAGTTATAGAATGCTTCAGTATCCATTTATAGAATATGGAAATTTCATATAAAGGTTATTAAGGTTGATAAAAACACTATGGAGTTAGGGTTTATATAAGGTATAGTAGTAGAAGAACAAAGGATGTTAACTGGGATTTTATTTCAACATTAACATAGTTCCACCCTCCCCCACAAACCTGTAGTGTGAAAATATTATAAACGTCATAGACTTCTGGATAAACTATAAATCTCAACCATATAAGACTTCTGAATAAAGCAATTAGCATGTTAACTCACCAATTAGCAGTAGTAGAGCAAGTATAAAAAAAAAATGCTAGGATAACTTCAATTTGAATTGCCGTCTCGACAATAATATGAAGAATATCCTAATTGACAAGTGCTTGGTAAGCATCATTCAAACAATAATGCTGCAAATTAGACTGTTGTACAAGGGAAAACAATATCTTAATTGATTGGTTCTGAGATTCATTATAGAGTACATCGATTCTAAATGGTGTTCAGTAGCTTACTTATAAATAAACATGATACTTATAATTAAGCATCAAGCATATCAGCCTGTAACACAGATTATTACAAGTCTCTAAAGAAAATATCCACAATAAATTAATAGTTCAAGCCAATTCCATAGCATCCTAATAACATGTATCACTCCTTCCAAACCAAAAAGAAAAATACATCAAAGCGGTAGAAAAAATGCAAAAGCGAAATTAACAAAAACTAAATAGTCAACATAGTAGAAGACAAAATCAAAATCATCAAACCCTAGGACCAAAAAGATGTGAGCAATGAGAAAGTTAATAAATATTTTAAACGAGGGAAGGTGAACGCCAAAGGGTGTGAAAATGGGTGAGTAGGCAAAATTAATTCAGTTCTGCATTGACATGCATTGTCTTAGTGAATGAAGGTGAAACAATAGTGCTGCATTCTCAGAGGGTGGAAGGATGAAGAAGCTGGTTTGAAATGACTGATGAGTATCTAAGAGAATGAAATACCCACTTGAGAGAAATGGCTACTGGTCACAACTCCATAACTTTATGACGTGTATAGATGAAGGAGGAATGAGCAGGTAAAAGGAGGAAAATTCTAGAGAGATTGAATTTTTTTTTTTAATTTTTTAATGACATACAAAAAACGATGTTCACACGGTGCCTCATCACAAATTGGTACAAAAATGTCTTAAAAGAGCAATTCATTTGTTAATGTAAAAAAGGAAATTATTAGAACCAGATGCATATTAGGCTGATCTAACATGTCTATTCTTTTTCATAGTGATATATTAGCAGCTTACATTATTGTCTATATTGAACCCCTCAAAAGCGTGGAAAACACAACGCTCCACTAGTATAGATGCAGTGCTTATTGAATTTTCATGCTTATAAAAGCACTGATATGCTTTGTCCTTTCTAAAGCCTACAGCAGAAAAACTAAGCATTCAGCAGAGGATTATATCCATTATATAAAATTCCAAAAAAGGCGAACAAGGTGATGTAAAGTTATGTTATTACTTCTCAACCTATCAATGCTCAACCTATCATATTAAAACAGAATTCAAAGGAAACAATTGACAGAACATATATATATATATATATATATATATATATATATACATATAACATTTGACAGTGACGTAAAAATCAAGAGACAAATCCCTCACCTGTACAGTTATCATTTTAAAATTGATCAGTTGAAAAAACTTGTCAATCTTCATCATCAGAGCTCACATCATCACTACTATAATCACTAGTATCACTTCCTCCAAGGTCCAAATTAACTGGTTGCACTTGAATAACTTCTGGTTGCTTGGGCTGTGGAATGTGAGGTTGCATTTGTTGCTCTGCAAATCTCGGTATTTGAAGCGAGTCCATGGGAGGCAATGGTACAGGATCCCCAGGTTTCCACCCAGGCGGAGGCAGTGGCAAATCAATAGGCAACTGCACAGGCATTCCCGGCTTCCAACCAGGTGGCACCGGAGGCAGCAGTCCTTGAAATGCAGACAAATTTGGAACTGCATTGGTATCCACCTGTGGTGGAGGCTCAATAATAGCTTCAACAATTTTATCCTTAGTTTCGACTTCTTTAGGCAATCCAACATCAAGGTCAGCAAAATTATACAACTGCGAAGCTCTCATTTGCTCTTCCTGTGGTGCAGGTGGCAGTGCACCACGAAGAGGAGCTTGGCCGGCTCCAAATTCCGGTGGTGCAAAGGTGGTGTAGCTTATCTTGTGGGCATACGATAATATATCTGAAAGCTTCAGCTGAGACGAGACAGTTGATGAAGTCATGGAATCATCATCCCCAGATTTTGATCGCTTGGAGCGGCGATAATCAGAGTAATCATCGACGAGCATGTCTAGGCAGCACTCAGCATCTTTGAGTTTGTTGGCAAATGCAAGTAGCATTGCATCGTGGGAGCGAATTTCACGGTCCATCTTTTGCTTGGCGTCTTGGAGGTCAAGAATCTCTTGGAGTTCAGCAACAGCTTCGAAGATTTGAGTTTGAAGAACAGTAAAGAGGGAAATGATTTCTTTTACAGTGGACGGAGAAGCGTCAAGCGGGGTAGATGAATGGGAAGAGAGGAAAGTTGGAAGGGATCCACGGAAGGCAGTGAGCCAAAGAGACCGGTTGGGGGAAAGTTCAAAGAGCTTGGAAGCTAAGGAAGCCATTTGAACAAGAAGTGCTTGGGCTCTAGGAAGGGGTGGGAGGAGAGACAGGAGAGCTGAAGAAGGGGTTGCAGTGTTGCGCTCTTGGGTGTGATGGGTCTGTGTTGGAGGGAGTTTCGGAGGTGTAGGGGTAGGGTTCGGAATTGAAGGGGAGTTAGGGTTTGCGAGACCTAGCCTAGCAGGGGACTGCACAATTTGGTGTTGAAGCATTTTGTGTATCTAGAAAACAAATTTCTACGAAGGGTTTTAGATTCTGAGTTCTTCAAAATCAACCAATATCACCTGCAAAAAGTTTTACCAAAAGTCAAAATATAGGATAATCAATGTCAGATACAAACAAATTCATTTCTTAGCTCCAACAGAGGATCATGTTGTAAGGAACAGGGATCACAATCAATATTAACAAAGGCACATCTCATTTCAAAACACACAATTTAGGTTACAGGCGCAGACAAATTAATAGGCACTCTCCAATTAGTTTTCCACACAGATGGTAATCGCAATCAGGGAACGAAATATTTTACGTTGATGAGATACGGGAACAGAAAACGGAGGAATCACGATATGCTAAGCGTGGAGGTTTGAAGGGAAATTGAAAATTTGCAAACCCTAATGCGATGCGGAATGATAGTAGAAGAAGCAAGATGGACCAAGCTCATCAGTTCTCCGTCTAATCGCATCGTTCCAATCTTGCAAATCTTTTTTATTATAAAAAATACTTTATAACTTTATTTTTTTTACATTTCGATCCTCTACTAATAATTTTTTTAAATTATGTTTTTTATAAAATAATATTAAATAAATCTGAAAATATTATTTTTAGTATAAAAAACAATTATAAGAATAGCTAGTTAAATTTATTGATTTATTACATTTAGAGAGAGTAAAAATATGTAAGACAAGTTACTATGTTAGTGTAAAATGTAAGAAAAATATAATTTTTCTTTTTTTATTTGAACTTATAAAAAATTTAAATAAAAATAATAACCATCCTGGTATTTACTTTAGACATGACGTCTTAAATTCAATATTAAATAATTTTCAGTTTGCAATTCATAAATATATTTACCAGTAATTATTTTAATATGATTCTCACAATTTTAACTACAAATATTCTTATATAAAATAATATATATATATATATATATATACATTCAAATTAATAATATAACTCCAAATAAAAATATTTCACTAAAAGTTCTCAAATAAATGTATTTTTAATGTTTATTCTGTGTAACCGAATAAGTGCATGAAAAAAACAATGGTTTATGTCTATTTAATGTCAATTAATATGTTTTTAAGGTTTATTACGTGTAATTAAAAAAAATAACTATATTTATTATATATTATTATCGTATTAATATGAAAAATATTTTAGTTATATAATAAATATTGGTATATAATCCTTTAAGCTTAAAATCTAAATAAATAAATCAATCTAATTCTGAATACATAATTAAAGATTTCTCAATATGTATTACTGTGGACAATGTTTTAATTTTTTTAAGATTTCTTCAAAGAAATAGTTTTGACGTGCATTAATTACTAGTTAACAAAATAATGTTTTGATAATTAATCTATAATTATAGGACTTTTACTTGAAAATATATCTCCAAATTTAGGTAAAATGTGTATTTATAATCTTATTTTCAAATTTAATAATCATTAACTATATTTTCTTATATAAAAATTATAAATTTAATTTTTTTTATCTTTCTTGTTTATTTATTATTTATTAATAATATATTATTTCATTCTTTAAAATAAATTATCAAAATCCACTATATAAAACCGTTGAGATTAGTCATTTGCTCACTGTTTGAGTTTCCTTCTAAGTTTTTCAAAGTCTTTCTCGGGTTCTTTTTTACTTTGTTATGTATTTTATTTTTTAATTCTTCAAAATATATATATTTTTTTTATTCTTGATGGTTCTAATGGGTTTGCTTGTTGACGAGTGACCACAAAGTTCATCCTATAATTAATAATTCATTTGAATGAAGAGTTTATAATACTTAATTATAAAAAAAAATTAACATTAAATCGATATAAATCATTACATAAATTAATCATGTGAGTGATTTATAAATATGACTACTCTATTTTTTTACATACATTTTCATTATATTTATTCCTTATCGTTTTTTTAGCGTGAAATATAACTCAATTGAGTAATTGCAGATTTTTTTTTCAAACTAATTACTTATTTTAATTCTCATTGTTTTTTTAAAGATAAAAAGTTATTAAAAACACACAAAACAAAAATAATACTTTAAAAATGCATTAATGTCTAGTTTTTTTAACACAATTTGAATAAAAAAATAATATTAACTCACCTAAGAAGATTAAATAGTTTTATTTTATACTTCTTTATATATTTTTTTCAATTTGGCTTATATAATACTTATGTTCATGTACTTCTATTTAATTGTTAATTACATCTAGTTAATAATAAACTATGTTAAGATTCGTACATTAATATTATATCAACCAACATAATTCATCATAATTGTGAAATGAGAGACAAATTTAACAAATGAATTAATGAAAGACAAATTTTAAAAATAAAAAAATGATAAATTTAAGTTGAAGAAGTTCATTGGGAGTGAGATGATGGAAAACTAACATTTTTAAGAGTTATAAAAAGATGTTATCTGAAACGTAGAATTCAACCCACCTTAAAGCATATTATAGTTGAGGTTCTTATCTATGTATATTTAAAACACTTAGCTCGAAACTCACCAATAAATATAATATATGTTGGTTTACTCGTTTAGCAGAAGATTAGAGAAAAAAAAAATTGTAGAAAATGACGTAAGTTTTTCCAATTTTTTTATATTAAATGTTTTTTCGTAAATGTTAGTTTTTCATATAGACTTGATGACTATAAGTTTTCTGACTTTTTGTCGTATTAAATCTTATTTTTACTTTTTTAAAAATTAATTATATTTAAAAATTGTCTTTTATTAATTAATTTTTTTTTCTCTCAGCTTATTTTTCTTAAATTATATTTACAATGTTCATTGATATGATGTTAATAAATGAATGTGAACATAGTCTATTTTTAATTACATATTAAATAAAGAAATAATCAACATATTATAAATATAGATCAACTTAAAGATAATTGGTGTTATATTTAAAATGCTTTTCCTAATGTTAAATTTGAATATTTTAAAAAGTATTTTAAATAAAAAAGTTATATGTAAAAAAAAAGGTATAAAAAAGAGGTTTATTATAAAACTATTAAGTTATAAATAACAGATACGAAGACTTAAAGAACTGGGCCATATGGGTATTTTGGGCCTCTTTTTTGGGTTCGGTGGAGTTGTATCATGGACCAAAATATATAATAACTAAAGAGGAATGAATAAATGGTTAGCGATTAGGGTTTTTAAAAGACGCAACTCCTCTATCTCTTCGGTTGGGTGGTGCCGTAGCAGGGAGCTCTAGCGTATTTCTCAATTCCAGAATGGTTCGTTTCCTCTTCTTATCCCTCATTCTAATTTTGAGTTTTGCTGTCTTTTGAATATCGTCATCGTAATGGTTTTGATCTTAGTTCTTTTGCCATTTTACTCAAACTAAACCTCTAATTTTCACCAAATGGCTTGTTTTACTCCATCTTCCGTTATATCTGAATTATTGGATTAGTTCTTTGCAATCAGAGTGTTGTGTCAGTGTAGAATTCAGATCCAGTTTCAAATCACGGTGTTTGCAACCCTTTAGCAATGACTTAATGCCTGTGAAAATGTAATAGGGTTTCTTTAGGTTTCGCTTTGCACATGAAAAGAAAGAATTTTGGGATTTTCTATGTTAGCAGCGGAGGAATCCGTATTTTGTAACCTTGGTTTTATTTGTTTGTTTAACGTTATAACGAAATCGTGTCTGTGTTTTAAATTAATTTTGTTTGAGCTTTGAGTATGAATGTATCATTGTGACAGGCTAGAGGATTGAAGAAGCATTTGAAGAGGCTCAATGCCCCGAAGCATTGGATGCTTGACAAACTGGGTGGTGCATTTGTAAGTAAAATTCCATAATCTTTTTTGAAACTTTCAAGGGTTCATTTTAGAGTCTGATGTGAACTTGTTTCTGCCATGTCTAGGCTCCCAAGCCTTCATCTGGACCACACAAATCTAGGGAATGCCTGCCACTCATACTCATTTTGCGAAACCGGCTGAAGTATGCCCTGACATACCGTGAAGTCATTGCTATTCTGATGCAGCGACATGTCCTCGTTAATGGCAAAGTCAGGACGGACAAGACATATCCTTCTGGTTTTATGGGTATGTATGTAGATTGACAATTTGAAGAATTACTGCTCCCCTCATGTATTTTCCTTTTTATGATTATTTACGACTACCTTGATTAAAGGAGAGAGTTCGCCCATCATAACAATAATTTGCTTCTAAATTTAATTAATTTGTCCCATGGCATGTTTTTATTTTCTTTTTTTTAATAATATTTTATATCTTTACAGATGTTGTATCCATCCCTAAAACAAATGAAAACTTCCGCCTGCTGTATGACACTAAAGGAAGATTCCGTCTTCACTCTGTCAGAGATGATGAAGCTAAGGTACAACGTGCTGTTGAATGTTCACTCTACCTAACGTTTATAGCATCTTTTTTTGGGTTGCCTAGTTTTAATTTTTCAGTTGCAACCTAGTACTCATTTTGTATGAATCCATTGTTATCCTTGTACGATGGCAGTTCAAACTCTGCAAGGTTCGCTCAGTACAGTTTGGGCAAAAAGGTATCCCATACCTGAACACGTATGATGGTCGCACCATCCGTTACCCAGACCCTGTCATCAGGGCTAATGACACCATCAAGTTGGACTTGGAGGAAAACAAAATTGTTGATTTCATCAAATTTGATGTTGGGAATGTAGTGATGGTGACAGGTGGAAGGAATAGGGGGCGTGTTGGAGTGATAAAGAGCAGAGAGAAGCACAAGGGAAGCTTTGAGACTATCCATGTTCAAGATGTTACTGGGCACGAATTTGCAACTCGTTTGGGCAATGTGTTTACCATCGGCAAGGGAACAAAACCTTGGGTATCTCTTCCCAAGGGTAAAGGTATTAAGCTTTCAATCATCGAGGAAGCTAGGAAGAGGATTGCCGCCCAACAAGCAACTGCTGCTTAAATCATTAGAGGGGATGAGTAGACTTTTGAGTGCTTGTAGTTTTTATTCAATGGTTTTTGCTGTCTAATTTATTATCTCGAGATTTTATCCGTTGAATTTTGTCTCTTAAATGCACTATAGAACTTTTATTGCGGCTGCTATAGTTATGAAGTAATTTTTACATTGCATATTTTTGGCGAGGTTTTAGCTGGAACAAATTGATGAAATTCCATTGTTTTAATGTGGTTTTAGTTGGTACAAATTTGTTGACCAAGTCCATTCAAAATGAAATGTCTCGATAATTATGTACTTTACTGGGTAATAACTAATACAAATTTTAATAGAAATATATTGATCGAGATAGACTGCATTCACTCATTATTATTGCTCTTGGGTCTTTTGGAGGGAATACATATACTTCCCAATGCACTTCCAAATTGAATCTGTCATGTGAATCATTCACGATGAACAAAGTTAACAGGTATTGAGATGCTCCTTAAGTCCTTCATATGCAGGAGCCTTTGTTGAGGCCTTGAATTTTTTTACGAAGGATTTATGTAATTTCATTGCAGAGGAGCGTTTAGATTTGTATTTATAAACCACAGCCGCTTCAGATTGTTTTTCCCTTCCAAGCGTTCAATTCAAATCAAACACCACAAAATTAAAATATTTACCTGTGGAATGCTTGAGTTAAATAATTCATAGCAATTAGATGTATTTAAATATAACTAGTAAGACGTCATACAAATATTTTCTTTACAGTTCTTTTTTCTTTATAGAGAAAATCTGTAGTCAAGTAACTTGTATACTAATTTTTTGTTCAGAGTTTTATTTTATATATAACGCAAATTATTGTTCCTTAATCTTTATATGGTATGTTATGCATAAAATTTCGTCTCTCGTAATTTAAATTATTATCCTATAATTTATGTTCTAATTCCAAGTTTTTGTTTTCTATTGCGTAATTCAAATATTAACTAATGTGGTTTAGATATTAATACTTTTTCATTCAAAGCTTTTATTCCCGTGAAATAAACATTTACTTTATCATGTAGATATTAAATAAGTTTTATTATATAAGAGAAGTTTGATTCATCCCTGTGGATAATTTTTTTTCCCATCAATGTGATTCAATTTTTTGGCTTTGTGAAGATTTTTTTCCTGCGCCTCTACAATATATGAAATGACTAAATTGTCTTTAAACATTTTTCAGCATTCTAAAAGCAATTTAATACTATTTCGAAAACAATTTAATGCGGGAAGAAAAAGGTCATTTGTTTTTCCTGTTGATTCTTTGGTCCCATTATCTGTAGCAGACTCTTTCTCTTTTCGATTATTTATATCAAAATAATATAACAACTTGTTATCGTTTGTTCAGTACCTTGCCGTGATTTTTATTAACAAATGTTAATATGTTCATTTTTATTAATGAAGACTTAAATCCAAATTGTGTTCCTCCCTCCTTCTCACTTAAAAAAAAAAAAAATCGAGGTCACAGATAATTTTCATATAAATATATTTAAATAATACCCCAATGTTTTTTTTAAGCAAAAAGAGCATTATAAACAAAATGAAATAATCCTTACTCTTTTTTCTCTTGTCCGGTCAAAACTTTTAACAAAAAAAATATATATTTTTGTAAAACATAGTCAATACTAAAATTTGTCAAGCTGAAATTATTTTTGTTTGGACCTAAGAGAAAAGAGAGAAAGGAAGAGTCAAATTTTGGTTACTGATTACACAGTGAGATATTTCCAAACAAAAATATTATTAGGTAAATATTTTATTAAAAGAAGAAAATTGTTTGTATAAAAAGTGACAGGTATAGAAGAAAAATTGTGACAAATTGAATGAGAATTATGTTAGGGAGAATGAGTGGGGCAGAATTTGATTATTCTGCGTGTTTTGATGGATGATAACAAACGAAACTAAAAAGGGGAAGTTCCACTCTGTATTATGTGGAAGAAGATAAAGTAAAGTTTGTGGGCAAAGAAACAGAAAGCAGCTTCAGATAAAAGATTTCTATGTCCACAACCTCAATAAGAAACATTTTATTGATTCATTTTCAATTTATGTAACTAAAGGTTTTTAATCAATCCTCATACGATATTTTATTCGTCAAAGTAGGACCAGACTATTTCTTACTTGAGGTTTATGAAATAAAATTTCACATATTTCTTTTATAAATATTAACCACATTTATATGATAGTAATTTTTGTATTTAATCATTTTTACTTGGTTATAATTTAAATATTTGATAAAACAAATCTTGATAAATTTAAATTATTTTATCTAAATAAAATATTTTAAAAATTAAATAATCTTGATTAAGAAATAATGTTGACTGATTCAAGTTGGTTGGAAATAATCCAATGATTAATTGAAAATAATCTCAAACTTAAAAAAAAATTCATGTTTGACATTATTAAAAAGATATTGATGTTATCAATAAATAAATTATTAATCAGTATTAATTGAAAAATAACATTATTGATAAAACATAATTTCAACATTAAAGACAAAAAAAATCATTAAAAACCTCGTTAAATTAATTTATGATGTGAAGCCAATAATTTTTTTTTTAATTCTAGTTTAAATTAAGGTAAATATTGAAGTTGAGTTAAAGAGAAAATATAAATAAAATAGATATTAATTTAGAAAAAGAATGTGAGAAATTTAAAATTCTTATTCTTTAAGTTAAATTCAAAATTATCTAATTTTAATTAATTAAATTAATATCATATATTCTCATAATTTTAAGTTTTAAAAAATATTAAAAAAATATATTTTATCACAAATTATTTTAAATTTGATATAGTATATTTTAAAATCAATTGTTGTTTTTTAGCTCTATAAGAATCAAAATAGTATAATTTTAAATATTAAAGTCATAGTAATATTGATAATACTTATTTTAATATTTTTTTCAGATATATTAACTAAAACCCATTAAATAAATATTTCATAATAACAATTAAGTTATATTACATTTTTTTAAATATTAATATTAAAAAAAATTATCAACCTATAAAATTATTTTCCCTACATAATACCTACTGTGACTAAAACATTAGAATGATGTAAAAATATATGGTTCAAGTGAAAAGTAAAAAGCTTTAATTTTCTACAAATACTATTAGTTTATTTGTATTAGGGTTCCAATCTCCTTTAAACACAAAGGTTATGAGTGTGTATAAAGTATCTGACACAACTATGTATGACAAACACATAATAAATAGAATAATAGATTGATTAATTGATCCACCACATGATACTTATCACAATTATCCAAATGTTTGTGTCATGGTCATTTTCTCACCTAACAAATTAAAACAGTTGGAAATGAAAAAAGAAAAAAAAACTTTAATTTTATTGTTTGTTTAATATTGAGTACCATACAAGAACCATGAAATTACAATGCAGAATGTGTACCACGAAAATGTTGGGGTCCTTAAATGATGACGTGAAATGGTGCGCATCACAAATTAATTTTTGCTTAATACTATTTTCTTGGATAGTCCAAGAAGGCGAAACTTCCACGAAAACAGAATTTTACCATCCACCGTAAAGGAATAATAATTAATCATCAAAGATTTTATTAGTTTTTTTTTTTTTTTTATACCACTAAGTTCGTGACCATTTATTCATGTTGATAGATTTTCCAATATTGAATAAGTTGTGTAGACATTTGCGTAGCATCTCAATTAACAGGGTTTGGAAATATTTTTATTAAAATTAATTTTACTTACCCTGAATTCAAAATAAAAAACTTAATAAGATGAGTTAATTTGTCACTTTTTTTTATCTAATTTTTTTAATTTTAAAAAAATATATGATAGAATAAAATAATTGACTCATTATAATCAAAATATATTTATTATTAGAAATTCTCATAAAATTTAATGAAAGTATTATTTTTTTATAAAAATTGGTAAAAAATAAATTTTTTATTAATTTAAATAATTACTTATAAACAAATTTACAGAAAATAATTATTTTTTAATAATAATTATACATTTTGATAGGTCTGGTTAAAAGTGAGAAAATAAATAATAAATCAACCTAATTTTTTATATAAAATAATTTTATATATTTTTAAAATATATATATATATATATATATATATATTCTAAATTGTTATTTATTATTTAATATTTTATATTAAATAAATTTTAAAAATATTATATTATATATTATAATATTTATTTATAATTAATAATTTAAATTTAATTTATTAATATTTATAATTTAATTATAATATATAATATATTTATATATTTTAAAAATATATAAAAAAATCAATTGTGATATATTTTATTTATATTTTGATATATAAATATTTGTTTAAAAATTAATCACTTGTAATAAACTAAAATTATAAATCCGATTTCTATAAAGGGATTGACCTAATATATTGTGATCTCTAATTAACTCTAAATAATTATATAATTTTTTTTACAGTATACAATTATTTAAATTAATAAATTAGAACTCATACTGTCTTTAAACTTTTTTAACCAAAATCCCATAATCCTTTTTAAAATTATTAAATTAATAAGTTTAATTTTTAAAATATTATTGTGAAAAAAGTGTGATAATTTTTTTTATTATTAAATTAAAACTTTGTTAAAAAAATTTAATATGAAATAAGTTAAGTTGATTGAATATAATTTTGTTATTATACATATATAAGTAAGTGAAAAAAGATTTTGATATATAACAAAATAACTAATAATAATTTTTGTTTCGAGCAGACAAAATCAGATTTGCAGATTAAAATATATTTAATTATTTAGATTTTCTTTTTATTTTATTTTATATAGAAATAAAGTATACACCTAATAATAAAAATAATTATTTAGAAATAATTCATGGGAAATATTTTTAAAATTTTTGAGTGGTAGGCTGTGATATTAAATGAAATATTATTCCATATTTATTATTCCAATAACCTTATTATGTAAAGATTTATGGTACTCTTTGGTACCTATTTATATATAATATTTAATTTCTTTGGTGAACATATTTTTTGGGTTTGGGGAAAAGTACTGCTTCGTTTTTGCTGGCAAAATTTATTTGAACACTTTTCTTAGAAAATTAATTCGTTTTGTAAAAAACAAAACATAACGTGTTACGAAAGGTGTTGAGAAATAAATCTCACGTTGATGGATAAAAACAACTTTAAAGTGGCATGTACTTTTGAACAAACAAGTTATTTAAGCTAAAAGCTAAAAAATAAATACTTATTTAACATCACACTGTAAAATTAGATATATATTTTAATATTTAGTTGAGAAATAGTTTTAAAATTAGTAGAAAGAGTTTATAAAAAGTGAAAAGAAAAATTGTTGAATAGTGAGTGTAAGGCATAAGAGATATGAGAAAGAATTGGTTGAGTTTGATTGAGTAAGAATAATGAAAATAAAAAAGTGGAGTATGCGATTCTGAATGAAACCATGGCTGCTTGCCAGTTAGCAGCATCTTTTTGGCTTTTTATTGGCTAATATTTGAGTGGTAACCAACAACCCTAAAACCTTTTCAAGTCATAGAAGGTTTTGTTTTCTGCCACCCATTCATAAGTTTGTGGCATGTCAATGCATGTTTTAAAGTTTATAGAATGTGTGGAATCATATTTTGTTAATATACAACTCATTTCCAAGTCAAATTATATTTCTTCTCGAATCTCAAAATTATTCTTAATTCTTCGAAGCCTATACGTCAATTTTTTCTTTAATTATGCATATGCTAAATAATATAAATGTGTTTTTTTTAAGGATATATTTTAATAAATATTAGATGAGAGAGTTTAAAGTTAATAAAAATAAAAATTGTTTTATGTTAAGTTTTTAAGATTATAAATAAAAAAATAATAATTTAATTCTTCATTTATCTAAAAACTCAATTTCATTGGTTAAGATACGTTACAAAATTTCAATGTTTATGTAAAAACTATTTCACTCTCTAAAATGATATCTAGACCGCTTATAGACTCGTCATTATTAATCCTACATTATATAATATTATGTGTTATTTGTATTGTGTAGATGAATATATACTTATTCACTTATTAACCAATTTTATATTGTGTAGATGAAATTAAGACAATTTGATCTTTTTAAAGGAGTGAAAATAGAAAAAAAAATTGAGCATAAAAAATGTTAATATAGATTTTATTATTATAATAATAAATAATTTTAATTTTTGTATTAAAAAATATATTAAAATAAATAATTAATAATAAAAAATTTATTTAATTTTTCACCCGATTCTACTCATTTATTTTAATCCATGCAATTTCACTCTAAACTCTTTCTCTAACTTTTTCAATCACTCCATTTCATTTTAATTAACTTATTCTTTGAGATTTGTTCAATAATTTTACTAAAAAAAACTACCACAATCATGTTTTATTATTTTCATCAATTTTTATTTCATCGATAATATAGATATAAAACACTTTTTACTTGATTTTTAATATTAAAGAGTTAAGACTGTGATAATTTTGGAGTCATGAGAACACTGTGACTCTCTTATTTTTGTCACTCGAGATCTTATCTCCAATGAAACTACTACTTTATTTTTTTTCACCCTTGACTTTTATAATCATCTCATCCCCGTTCCCGATCCCATGGGAGTTAGAAATTAAGTCTCCATCTTCGCTCTGTTGGATTTGGGTTCCCAGTCCCCGATTTATATTATTTTTAAAAAGATAATTACATTTATAATAAATTAATTTCACTATCTATTTTTTATATATAAATAAATATTTATAATTACAATTTATAATTATTATTAATTAAATAAACATTTTAATTTATTATATTTATATTAAAATATATATGTAAAAGAAATATTTAATCATTTTTTATTTATAACATTATTATTATTATTACAACATCTGTATTCAAATATTTGAATATTTATAACATTATTATTATAATACTTGTATTCAAACATTTGATTATATACAAGTTAATTCATTTTTAAATTGTAATTTAAAAATATGAAATATATAATTTATAAGAAAATATTTAATAAGTTAATTCTTATTCAATTAGTTCGAAGTAATAAAAGTTTAAATTATCAATTCCTTTAATCCTTTAAAATACAATTATTTTATTAAGATAAAATTTGATATATGATAAATAAAAATAATAAGATAAAAAATATGAAATAATAAAACCTAATAAATATAAATTATAAATAAAATAATATTAGTTACCACTAAGATTTATGTAAAATATTTAGAAAAAGATAAAGAATAAAAAAAATTAACTTTGTATTCATCAAATTGGTTGAAAAGATTAAAAAAAAATTGATGGGAGAGATTAAAGAAATGTGAAAAACTGTGAAGTAAGAGAAAGAATAATGTAATAAATTAATTGATATAAAATATTAAAAAAACAAAAAATTAAAAAATGGATAGAAGAAAAAAAATTGATGAAATATAAAAAAAATGACCTTGTGAAATAGAAAAAAAAGAAATACTTATAAAATATTAATATTTTAAAATTAAATATAAAGTCGGGACGGATATGAGTCAGGGTGGGTATTATATTACATATTCTCGTCCCACCTCCAATTTTTTAAAGCAAAAAAAACCCGAATCCGTCCCCACCCTTAATCAACTCAGACGGATCATTCCCATGGGTACAGGTTTTAACGTAGTGGGATGGTTGGGTGTTCATAAAACATTTTTGAATAATATTTTACTAGTTACAATCTTAGAAGATGTATTTTCCTCTTAATTTATTCATTATGCATTTTCAACCGTTAATTTAGATAATAGATTTTCTGATTTTTATATCTTAATTTAAAGTAAATATATGCATCCGTTAGATGCAATTAAATTAAAATGAGATTTGAATCATCTGCAAACATAAGAAAAACCAACTCAATCCAAATGCATTTAAAAATATGGTGACACTTCATTTCTAAAAGTATGGCGACGCAACCTGATAACGCTGGCCTTACTGTCTTTTTCATGCAAATTAATACCTTTCAAATCTCAAAACCTACCCAAGTTCATTCTATGCAATGAAGAAAATTATTAAGCTCTTTAGATATTAAGCTCTTTTTTTCCCTCTTAACTACCAGGTTTCTATGAACAAATGAATGACTGAAAAGGATGGCTATAACATCTCTCTCACTCTTTTTTTTGTTTATGTTTTAATTATTATTAAAAGAAAAATAAACGCTAGCCTTATTCCAAAGTAATGATGCTTTATTGTCATTGTAGGGATTACGGTTGAGGCGCTAATCCAGGCGGGCCAAAATTGTTTATATAAAAAGAAGAAAGCGCGTTGGAAGTTGTAAGCCCCGTCCACCCCAGACACTTTGTGACAAATCCAAGTCCCAATATTTCTACTTCTACAAATCATGGCCTCAACCTCCGGATCAAACCTAGAGCGGCACACATCAGCATCGTCATCAGTTCATACATAAACTATACAGATTACATACCCCTCACACCGGACCCATTCACTCACAGACAATAGCCAGATCATAAGACACTCCATTCTCTTGGCACCTTTCAACAACCTCGCCGTTTTCCCTCCATCAAAGCCGAGATTGTAGGTCCACAACGACAACCCAATTCAATCCCTCCTTTCAATAAAGGCTCAAACTTTTGCAACTTGGGTTTTGGATCCGACCCTTGAACAAGTGAACCATGCAGCTGTTGGCAAAGTCGATCCTATTGGCAGACCAAGTGGCCAAGGCAGCGGAAGAGTCCAGTTCCTCGTTCAAGCAAGAGTGCTTAGAACTCAAATCAAAGACAGACAAACTCGCAGGGCTTCTTCGACAGGCCGCACGTGCGAGCTCCGATTTGTACGAGCGTCCGACGCGGCGCATCATCGCCGACACCGAACTCGTACTCGACAAGGCCCTGTCTTTGGTTCTGAAATGCCGCGCCAATGGCCTCATGAAGCGCGTGTTCAGCATCATTCCGATGGCGGCGTTTCGCAAGATGTCATCCCAGCTCGAGAATTCCATCGGCGACATGTCGTGGCTCCTCCGGGTGTCGGCTCCGGCGGAGGATCGGGGGGACGAATATCTCGGCCTCCCTCCGATCGCCACGAACGAGCCCATTTTGGGCCTCATTTGGGAGCAGGTGGCTACCCTCCATACGGGCTCACTCGACGATCGATCTGACGCAGCAGCCTCGCTGGTGTCGCTCGCACGTGACAACGACCGTTACGGGAAGTTGATCATAGAGGAAGGTGGGGTTGGACCCTTGTTGAAGCTGATTAAGGAGGGTAAAATGGAAGGTCAAGAGAACGCTGCCAGGGCTATTGGGCTTCTGGGCCGTGACCCTGAGAGCGTGGAGCTTATGATCCACGCGGGTGTGTGCTCTGTCTTCGCCAAAGTCCTCAAAGAAGGACCCATGAAAGTTCAAGCTGTGGTTGCCTGGGCCGTGTCTGAGCTGGCAGCTAAGTACCCTAAATGTCAAGATCTTTTCGCTCAGCATAATATCGTTCGCTTGCTTGTAAGCCATCTTGCATTTGAAACCGTTCAGGAGCATAGTAAATACGCAATTTTTAGCAACAAACCCACATCAATCCATGCTGTTGTGATGGCTAGTAATAATTCTAATGGCAATAGTGTGATAAAGGAGGGTGAATATGAGGAAAGGCTGATGCAAAGTCGAATGCAGCATCCCTTGGGAAATAAGTACACAAATCAGATGCATAAAGTGGTCACAAGCACCATGGCAATGCATGCTGCCAACAAGCAACAGGTACAGTCCAATCAAGACAATGAGGTGACTCAGAACTCACAAGGCGTTCAGCCAAAGGCCAATGGTAATGGTAAGCAAAACCATCAGTCCCACCAGCAAAGCTATACCTACTCTGGGATTAACATGAAGGGAAGGGAACTAGAGGACCCTGAGAATAAGGCTTACATGAAAGCAATGGCAGCAAGAGCCCTCCGACAGCTCGCCAAGGGAAACGTAGCCATTTGTCGGAGCATCACTGAATCGAGGGCTCTGTTGTGCTTTGCCATTCTCCTTGAGAAAGGGTCTGAAGATGTGAAATACAATTCTGCCTTGGCTGTGAAGGAGATCACGGCAGTGGCAGAAAAAGATGCAGAATTGAGGAGATCAGCTTTCAAACCCAACTCTCCTGCATGCAAGGCGGCTATTGATCAAGTGCTGAAGATCATAGAGAAGGAAGATACAAAACTTCTGATTCCTTGCATAAAGGCTATTGGGAATTTGGCAAGGACATTCCGGGCAACGGAGACAAGGATAATTGGTCCCTTGGTCCGGCTTCTTGAGGAAAGAGAGGCAGAAGTGTCAAGGGAAGCAGCAATCTCTCTCACGAAATTTGCCTGCTCGGAAAACTACCTCCATCTGGATCACTCAAAGGCAATTATAAGTGCAGGAGGTGCAAAGCACTTGGTCCGGCTTGTGTATTTTGGCGAACAGACAGTTCAGATTTCAGCTCTGGTTCTGCTCTCCTACATTGCATTGCATGTGCCAGACAGTGAGGAACTTGCTCGGGCCGAGGTTCTTGGATTTCTTGAATGGGCTTCCAAGCAACCTAACGTGACGCAGGATGAAACCCTCGAGGCATTGTTGCAGGAATCCAAAGGTAGGCTGGAGCTTTATCAGTCTAGAGGTTCAAGAGGATTCCAAAAATTACATCAATAGGAAGAGTAAGTTATTCATTGTTGTGGTTGAGGTTTGTCAATCATTCGCGTCTAATCCATTGTTCTAGTGAGTGTATATACAATCAATTGCCCTCCAATTGTTCAGATTTGTTTTCAATTATAAAGAGAATTGTTTGCCTAAACCATTTGTTCTAACTTTCCTTCATTCCTCTCATGTTAACCCTCTGATAGAAGTTGTACTACCCAAAACGCCAATGAAAACAGTTAAAAAGTTATACTTTGTAATAGACCTTCATAAACAGTCTCGTCGGTCTCTCCCAATGGAAAAGTAAAATTTACTGTGGAATTTTTTTCCTCTGGGATAGTCAGCTACAAAACGCTACCTCCGTTGCCTCTGGGTTATACTAGTAGCAAACTTTTGTTGTCCACAATGGGCATTAGACGTTAATTTTCACAACGATGGAACTAATTGTTATGATGTTCCAATTTTCCAACTGTCATTTACCATCTTGAAGTCAAGAAGCTTATAATGCTAAAGCTATGGCCGAATGTGCTTATAATTCTTAAGCTTGATAATTTCCCAAACCTAAGCAATTTGTATAATTCCAGCAGAGAGCTTAAAGAAAGAAAATAGTAATAATAATAATAATTGAGGGGGCGGGGTGGTAGATGAACCCTCTGCCTCAATGATATTCCGCCAGTGAAGTTAGTGGCATGGGGGCCAATAGTAGAATATGATCATCTTTTTTGGCACGCATATATTCATTTCAACTGGCCAAATTATATTATTTCTATAGAAGTATCATACGTGGGCCAATTCATCATGGTGCATACATTGCTATCATGTAGAAAAAGTGTTGCTAGTACCACAAACAACGAAGGATTAGGGCAAAATACATTAGAAGGAATGGCCATAACGATCTTCGGAAGATTCTAGGAATAGACAGCGAACTAGCTGTGCAATACAGAAGCTATTAACAATTTTAAGAAATTTCTTTTATGACAAGAAAATTCGTTAAGATATCAAAGAGAAGCAATCCAAAGTTGCAATCAATCAAGTGAAATCGGAGCCCATTAATAACACAAAAAAGTCATAAAGCTAAAAATGGTGCTCTAAACGACATCATTCCACGAAAAATTAAAAAGTTTTATATTTCTTTTCTCGTCTGTAAGGCTGAGAATGATGATATTTTTACAATACTTTTTATTATAATTTCTTTCTATTTACCTTCATCACATCATTACTCCTTTTATCCCACTGCTATTTTTCTTCTCCTCTATTCTCTTTCTTTATAATAGAAATTATTGTCCAGTCCGACAACAGAAAAAAAAAAAAAAAACTCGCCCCACTGGGTAGTTCAGCTATGTGCATCCATCTACCCTACACATATCTTTCAAAACCCAACAGTTAGGACTGCTGAAAGTGGTGTACAACTAATTCATGCTCCTTCTACTACACAACACACAGTTTAGCCACTCGTGTAGCATGAAAGTTTGATCAGTAGTGATTTTTCACTTTCAACAAAGTGGTAATGATAGAAAATTAACAGTAATTAGGAAATTTGTCCTCAAAAGTAATCGTTTGTGTCAATTTAAATTAGAAGTATACAATTTCTGAATTTATGTTAACTGATAATAAATCTTTCCAATAAAGTTAACCAAATCTAGAGACTAAATTGAAAAAGAATGACTTATGCGTCAAACTTGGGGATGAAATTATATACAAACTAAGATTTTAGAAGTCAAATTAAGATGATACTACGTTCAGAGACACAATTATATATTTCTCAAAGTTAATCTTTTATTATCAAAGACCAGGTTCATTCCTCACCTTAATTCCCCTATTGATTGTCTGCATGCATCGTATTCATTTCTTTGCGTTCACGCAACGTTGAGTAAAAACAGGATCGCAAAACCACGGGAGAAACAACAATCAGACGAAAAAAAATTAAAACTGGAATCAAAATCATATATTCCTATTTCCAAAATGAGAAGTGTTCCACGCACCTGAAATCTGAATCCAACGTGGTGATTCTGAAATATCCCACATAACTCTTCTCACTCACATTACCATGATACCTACGAGAACAAAAATCAAATAAAAACTCTAACAAACAAGTAGTTTTTGTTTTTGAAATCAGGAATAGAAAATAAGGTGACAAATTCCGAGTACGGAAAATCCACGAAGATCCAGCGAAGACTAACGATTTTAGGGGTAAAGTAGTTGCAGAGGTTCGACAACGATGATTTTGTTATGTTATGGTGAAGGAGAGTACCATCGTAGTGGAAGACAGTTCTACCGTTCCTTCAAAATTTCAGGCTTCAGCGCCCACATCTAAAAAGTCGCCATGGAGATCCTCTTTGTTCTCTGAGCCCAATTGCTTGCAATTTCGGTCTGGGCCTAGAATTGGTTGGAATTTTCGGTAACAAGATTGGGCCAAATTGGTCAGAACTTTCTATGATAGTATAAGAGATTTTAGGTTCACATCCAATCACAAATATATATATATATATATATATATATATATATATATATATATATATATATATACGAGAATTTTTTTTTATTCACTTTAGATTTGGTCATTTTTACAATAAATTTCTTAATAAAAAGTTGGATATTGACAGTAAAAATATATTTTTTGTTTTTTTATAACTGATGTAAAATATATAAAATAAAATTAATTCAATCTTATCTTCACTTTTATAATAAATATAATAAACATGTATTTTAATTTAGATATATAATTTATAATATTTTCTATTTATTATGATTTTAAATCATTCTTCAATATTTTCTTTAACTAATTCACCTAATTTTTTAAATAAGTTACATTTTCAATCCCTTTCCATCTTTTTTTTCTTGTACAACCCTTTTCAATTCTGACTTAGATGCAAATAAAGCATAGAAAATTGTCCCATCAAGTTGGTTTTTGAGTACTATCATCTTTTGGTTAATGAAGGAAAAGTAATGTAGATTTCCTACATATTTTTTGTGGTCAAAACAAAATTCAAGATTCTAATTATATTTGGCTCATTCCCTTCTATTTGATCAAAATACCGTGAAAATAGTTTTAAAATTTAGAAACTCACTTTTGAATATTGTAAAGTAAAAAGAAAAGAGAATGGTGACCTCACAGTGCTTATCTTTCTGTTTTGTACTCTTCGAATGATAGAAGGGGATGGAAGAAAATAAAATGATGTGAGCTTTGTTCACTATGTATAGTGAAAACTAGTTTCTTCTAAAGTATCTTTATCCACTTTAGTAACTTAACTCACTTATGGTTTGAATAACATGCGTAATAAATTATTTATCTTTTGAAAAAAAGAGAGAAAAAAATGAAATTATTTTATGACAACTTTATCATAAAATAATAAATCAAATGTTTGTATTATGCTATGTCAACATTCACTTATATTTTTAAAAATACATTGTAGTTAAATTAAATTTATTTAATAAAATTTCAAATTTTTTAAAATTTTATAAAAGAAATCCAAGACTAGTTTTAAATATTAGTCTAAAACGAAAAGGAAAAAGAGTTATTGCGTTATTATTTTGCGAAATGAAGGATTAAAAAAAGTACTAAAAGAAATAAACTATTTCCCCTTATAATCTAAATGAAGAAAAGAAGATCCTGAGATAATTAAATACTATAATTTTATATACTTCATATTATTTTAAATAATTAAACAATAAATTTATTTATTGTTTCCAGTTTGTATTCCATTTCCTGAGATTTATTAATTTCACTGAGAAGCGAATGTACGTATATGTAAGGTGATAGTTGAAAGTGGAAGATACCATCACACACGTAAACTTATCCTAATATAATATTGGCCACTGCATTTGCTTCAAAATCTGGTCCACTCAAATCATATAGTCCTCTCTTCTCTGTAATCAAAACATCAAAATTCATTCATACACACTTCATTCAACAGTTCTTCATTCCCCCTAGCTAGTTTCACAAATGGCTGCTGCTGTTAGTGCTGCAGTCTCTTTTCCATCCACCAAGTCTACCTCTCTCCCAAGTAGGACCTCCCTCATTTCCCCTGAGAGAGTCATTTTCAAGAAGGTATGTCTAATTACTTTTATCAGAATCAGAATTAGAATTTCATTCTGATAATCTGTGTTCACTTTTAATGAAGTTTTTAATTATGTACATTACTTACAGTCAATAATGATTGGAGAATTGCATTAAAAGTAGCTAAGAAAATGTATATAAGTTTTGAGATTGCGTGTGACTGAGGATTGAGATTGCATTTTTTATGATCCGGGTTATTAAGTAAGGTTTCTCTATCAGGTTCCGTTTCAATATAGAGATGTTTCTAGCAGTGGAAGGGTAGTTTCCATCAGAGCTCAAGTCACCACTGAGGCACCAGCCAAGGTTGAAAAAGAGTCCAAGAAACAGGATGAAGGTGTGATTGTGAACAAGTTTAAACCCAAGGACCCATACATTGGTAGATGCCTGCTCAACACAAAGATCACTGGGGATGATGCTCCAGGAGAAACTTGGCACATGGTCTTCAGCACCGAGGGTGGGAAGCTCGTTACTTTTTCCTCTGTTATAGACCACCAAGTAGATTGGTGATCAAAATTGTATTTTTGAGCTAATATTAGTGGTATCATTTCAGGAGAGGTTCCTTACAGAGAAGGCCAATCAATTGGGGTAATTCCGGATGGTGTTGACAAGAATGGCAAACCTCATAAACTGAGATTGTATTCTATTGCCAGCAGTGCCATTGGTGACTTTGGTGATTCCAAGACTGTGAGTATCCTGCCATAGCTTAACAATTTTAAATTATTGTTTCTGGGGTTTAATTTTAAACATTATAAAGCTTCTATGTTATCAACTCTGTTGTTCTCATACCTGAGTCCTGTTCTAAACTTGCTTCAGTTGCTTGTCTATCGTACACCTGAACTAATTTGAAACTTGAGTCCAAAAGGAAAATCATCCATAGATACTCAGTGAGAGAAAATTGGCATCTAGTGAGGGAAAGAGAAATGTAGGTATATGATAAGTATATCATGTAATATAGGAAGGGAGAGGGAGAGATAAATTATGTTATGATGAAAATTATGTACTAAACTGTCTTTCACTCACTGTAAACTCGACATTTAACTTGACTATCTATTATACATTTTTCATTTCCTTACCCGAGACTCCATTTACGAATTGACATGATTGCTTCCATACAGGTTTCTCTATGCGTGAAACGACTAGTGTACACAAATGAAAACGGAGAAATTGTCAAGGGAGTCTGCTCAAATTTCCTGTGTAAGGATGAGTAGTTTTTGTTATATTTTACACAATGTAGGCTAGAATAAATGTAGCTATATCTTTTAGGTTGATTTAGTCTGTTATACCAATGGTACCTACCATTCTTCTACCAATTATTTACGTTCCTCTTTATTCAGGTGACCTGAAGCCAGGATCAGAAGTAACTATAACTGGACCTGTTGGAAAAGAAATGCTTATGCCAAAAGATCCTAATGCCACCGTCGTCATGGTACAGTGTCACTCATATTGTTCTTAATTGAAAACTAACATGGTACATGTACATGACGATTGTTCTTATCTTCTTCACCATTGATCAATGAAAGTTTTTTCACAGTTGGCAACTGGAACTGGGATTGCCCCATTTCGCTCATTTTTATGGAAAATGTTCTTCGAGAAGCACGAAGATTACAAGGCAAGTGTTTCCAGAATCTAGTATCCTTATTCACATGAATGTATCTATCAGAAACCAAAACCAGGACAATGTGCGGTTGAATGGACAAACGACTTCATATCTGGACAGTGGACTATGCTTATGATAAATGGTGATTTATTGGAGGAACGAACATTATTAAAGTGATTAAACTGAACATCAATATTTACCACCATGAGGCACCGCAAGTTGCAACTACATAACATACCGATGCTGTTCTATTAGAGGGAGCCAGTATTTACTTCCTAGGGTGCTTAAGTAGTGCAAATTTTCTTTTATCTCTCAGGATTTGTTTTTTAACATAGTCAAATGGCGTGTGATCCATATAGGTAAAGGTAATAACCTCACTGAGTCTAATACCTTAACGTGATTCATGTAGCCAATTTTTACTTTGTGGGATAAGCTTTAGTTATTGCTTTATAATCAGCAAAGGCAAACTGAATTGGCTGCTGCATACATTATTAATACGTGTTTATAAGTGGATACATTTGATTATTAACCATGTTTTGACGTATATGTAGTTCAATGGTTTGGCATGGCTCTTCTTGGGTGTCCCTACAAGCAGCTCTTTGCTCTATAAGGAGGTGAGAAGAATGAAAATTTTCTCATTATTTAAAAATTTCAGTCACAGGTTTCATTTTACATAGATTTGAGTATACTTACACAACTTCTTTTGTACGAGGCAGGAATTTGAAAAAATGCAGGAGAAATACCCTGACAACTTCAGGCTTGACTTTGCTGTGAGCAGAGAACAAACAAACGAGCAAGGAGAGAAGATGTACATCCAAACCAGAATGGCTCAATATGCAGAAGAGCTTTGGGAACTACTGAAGAAGGATAATACTTTTGTGTATATGTGTGGATTAAAAGGAATGGAAAAGGGAATTGATGATATTATGGTATCATTGGCTGCCAGAGATGGTAAGACATTTTTTCCTTTTGGGGTAACCATTTATTTTGTCTTGGTACAGAAACATCATTAATCATATTTTGTGTTTAATTATGTACTGTAGGCATTGATTGGATTGAGTACAAGAAGAAATTGAAGAAAGCAGAGCAATGGAATGTGGAAGTCTATTAATTTCTGTTCACTTGCACAGATATCAACTCCTACTTTATGCTGCAACAGGTCTCAAGTGTTTCGCGTTGTGTAGATATATGACCACCCTGTAATTTTTCTTTGACCATTTTTATACTGTTCATCAACAATTTCATTGCCAGTTTTACAAGTACTATTTTTGAGGGATGATCCAATATAGATGAATCAAACTTTACAATCTGCTCATCTTATATATCATTAAGAAATAAATTTTTTAGCATCAAATTTAAATGACAAAAGTAGTTTTATGCTTTGTGCAAAACATACATGAATTATTATGGAGTGTAATGAATTATTTAAATCTAGCTACAATTAAAACAGGGTTTAATTCAAATAAACATGCTTTTTATTCTCAAAATAAACCTTAAGTAAAAGAATGATTCCCCTTTGAAAAAAAAAATCAATCTTAACAATTACGAATTCAATCTGAATTAATTAATTATAATTGTAGTAAACTCATTTCCCTAAAAACCATTCTTTGTATTGATTTGTCTTTTCTTTATATTTTTACAACTACCTTTTTAATTTTAATTTATTATTATAAAATACTAAAATTAAAAAATATTACATACATTAAAAATCATTTTTCCCTTCGTTATTCAAATGCTCAAAATACATTAATATTTTTAAAAACTTGACTATTATTTTTATATATTATTAATCCAATCAATATAGCCCACTTTTAATCATGACCAAATTGATATAATTTTAATTTGATATCTAATTCAACTCAACTCATTATTTTGACTACATTGGATCACACGAATTTAGTGAAATTGATAAATCTAACATTGGATAATATTTTCAATATTTTCATTAAATACAAAAAAAATTAAAGAATATCATAATTTATACCCTAGTCATGTATATTATACATATTATATTTTATTTTAATTTAAATAGACTTTGTATCTGTTGTTTGATAACATTTTGTGTCTGATAAAATTTAAAACTCATCAAAATCATAATTAGTATCTATCTTAAGATAATAAAGCCACTTATTAATTTATTAAAATATCAGAAAAATATTAATATTAAAAATATTCTCATTCAAAAAAGTTTGAAAAAAATATTTCATATTAAAAAATATATTAAAACTTTAGAAAGATTTGTGATATGATTATTATCAGGTGAAACCTATCTAATATTTATATCTTAGAATTTGAAGAAGATTATTTATTGAAATATTTAAATAAAATATTAATTACTTAAAATATTTCTATTACAAATTTTTTAAATAATATGATAAGTTGTTTAAAATTTTTATTAATTATTTTTTCAAATTAAAAAATATAATAAAAATTTGAGAAAAAGATAAAATCTTTATTTTTTATATAAAATCAATTACAAAATTATTAAATATGATATAACATAATAAATTCATATTTTATAATTTTTAAGATAAAAATAACTCAATTATTATAAATATTCTGAATATAAATTACTATTTTAAAAATGTTCATGATTGAAATAATTATATATTTTTTAAATTAAGAAATATCCTTGATATAAATCATTGTTTTTAAAAATATTATTATTGAGATAATGATATTTTTTTCAAAACTAATATAAATGAAAGAAAAAAATACATTAAATTTATGAGATTTTTTACTTATATTTTTTATTATTTAAAATTAACTCTACACTATATCTTATAATTATCTAATCTTAATGAACCAAATTTTTTTATTCATCTAGCTAAATTTGGAAAAGAAACAATTGAGATACCTATTATTTTTCTATCTTTATATGTATATATATATATATATATATATATATATATATATATATATATATATATATATATATATATATATACTTTGCCTTTTAATATTTCTGAACAGTACAAACAAAAAAATTAGATTTATATTATTGATATAATTAAATCAAATGGAGACATGCTCCATCATAATAAAGATGTTTATTGTAATCAAGACCTAAAAATTATTTAATTAGTCAATAATTAATAATTAATAGGTAGGGTTGGATTGGATTTGTTAATATCTGGAATTGCAGTTCACATTGAATATATATAGAGAGAGACTCTACCAAGTGTTGTGTTATTGGCATTACACCGCTGAGGCTCTCTCTAGGGTTTGTTGGCTCTCAAATCAAATCGATTTCATGGCGGAAGAACGATTCACGGGCGTTGTCCAGTGGTTCAACAATGGTAAGGGCTTCGGCTTCATCAAGCCCGATGACGGCGGTGAGGATCTCTTCGTCCACCAGTCCTCCATCAGATCCGACGGCTACCGCACTCTCCTGGAGGGTGATCGCGTTGAGTTCGCCATCACCACTGGCGACAACGACAAGACCAAGGCCGTTGACGTAACTGGTATCGATGGCGCTCCTCTTCAGCCCCGCGCCGCCTCCGGCAACCGTGGCTCTGGCTATGGCTTCGGTGCCCGGCGCAATGGCGCGGGCGCGGGCGGCGCCACGTGTTACCAGTGCGGCGAATTTGGCCACCTCGCTAGGGACTGCAACCGGAGCAGCAATTCCGGCGGCGGAGGCGGCGGGGGGTGCTTTGTTTGCGGAGGGTTCGGTCACCTCGCGAGGGATTGCGGGCGCGGAGGCAACGGTGGTGGTGGAGGCGGTGGCGGTGCAAACGGCTCTTGCTTTAGGTGTGGCGGATTTGGGCACATGGCGAGGGATTGCGCCACCGCGAAGAGCGTTGTTGTTGGTGGTGGCAGCAGCGGTGGCGGTTGCTTTCGATGTGGGGAGGTTGGTCATTTGGCTAGGGATTGCGGCATTGACGGAGGGAGGTATGGCGGTGGTAACAGTGGTGGTGGCGGAGGTGGCGGTGGGAAGAGCACGTGCTTTAATTGTGGGAAGCCTGGGCATTTTGCGAGGGAATGTGTTGAGGCTTCTGGGTGAGGTGAAGGGTTACGTTTTGCGAAGGGAGAAAAAGGTGGAATAGTACATATTCTCTTTTTTTGCACCTTTTAACAATTATTAACTTATTAGCCTCTCTTATTATTCTTCTAATTTCGGGGAAGTTTATACATATGGCAAAAAAATTATGTGGTTTTGGTTTTTGACTATGGTACTGCTTCACAGGCGATTTTGCCTCCTTTTGTTAGCTTTTACTTTGGTTGTTAGACCTTGTTTCTGATTTATAGTTTACTTTTCTTGTTCCTGGACTTGAGATTTATATCTTGATTTATTGGTCTCAAAGGTTCATAATCAAATGATTATAAATTTAGAATGAAGTTCTCAGGAGATTGTGGAGTGTTGCCCTTCTCAATGATGCATATTTTTGTGTTGTCTGCTTTGATTTGGTCATTGATTCTTGTGAGCATTAATTTTGATTGATACTTACAATTACGGGAGTAATGATTGAATGAAGTAGATTCATGATTGTATTTTGTTCTCTGGCAAATCCCGATCTAATGTGTCTTGGAAACATGAGAAGTAGACTTGTAGAGTGTATCACATAGATTTCGACATTTACCTTATTTCATCAGAAAGGGGTTTTTCTCCACCTTGTAACCGTTTTAAGATTGCTTGCCGTTTCACTCCTTATCTGTATTAAATAGGAAGTCTGTGGGATAACTGTTGCTTGGTTTGCATAACAGCCTTCCCCTGAACGTCTTATTTGGTTGTTAAAACACTGAGCTTCTTTAGAGACATTAGGATGCATGTCTTGTGAGTTCTTTTTACTAGACTTGGATATTTACACTACTTGTATTGGCCTAATTTTACCTGTTTTTAACAGTATATGCCCCAAATCCCTCGCTTGATCTCTATACGCATGAAATTTTTAAACTAGAGGAGTGTTAGCAATAACATATTCTTACTAATACATTACTATTGGTTGAAATTTGTTGTAAAGTACAAAATTTATTATTTCAATAAATTTTAGTCAATAACAAAGATTTTGTTGCTAGCATTTCCTGAATCTTCTAGGGAAGTTTGTTTAGGTAGAACTTAGCTTTTCGATTCAACCTAGATTTTTTTTACAGCTATACATTTGGTTGGGATTGTGACTAAGTTAGTCCTAGTCCTATCAGGGGAAAATCTTGGGAAACTATCAATGTTTTGTGCCCTTGCAAAATCTAAGATGCTAATTGCAATAGTGTTTTGTGTTCTACCTGTACCTAGGAAGCAAATTGAAAACATGAATATTTTGTTTTTTCTTTTCACAAGCTAATGGTGTCACTAGATTCCTATAGAAAAATATTTTTCTAACCGATCAAACTTGACTGACTTGGGTTAAATTTTTTACCCTGCAAGCAAACTAAGCCAAATCAAATTGAGCTATCGATTCAATTCGATTGAGATGTGATTATATAAGTGTTGCAATCATTTGTCAAAAAGTAAGTAGTGATAAGAAAAACTGTGGTCAAGAGCCTTGGTTGAACAGCCGTTCCACCAGCAATTTTGTGACGTCTTTAACCTTGTCAAAATTACTTGAATTGAAGTCTTTATTTCTAGCAATCCTCGAGTGGCTCCTGCATATAGTGCTCGTTGCATTCCACCTTCCCAGATCGTGCATAGGTCGCTGTTATTGCTTGCACTTATTTGATGATTGGTAGCAACTGTAGGAGGCGATCTTATTGAAGTCGCAGGCATTACTTGCCGAAGATGTCACTTACAATTCTCACTTTTGGGGTTGGAGTTAAAAAAGTTTGTGGAAAGCGTAGAACCAAGACTCTAATATATTTTTGTATTATCGTGGAATTTTTTAAGTCAAGTCCATCAGGGTTATATGGTAGAGTCGTTTATTGTCTGTTGGTGTTTGATCTTTTCTCTTAAATCTAATCAATGAATGTTTGCGAAAAAGATAATTCAGTAAAGGGCTCATGTTCAATTTTTTTTTATGGATTTGGATGTACCATTAAGCATCACACTGACACAAATTATGGCTACTAAACTCCTCCTCCCTAGCATGACTCTTTCCATACAATTCACATATCATTAAGAGATGTTAATTGTCAAATAACTTCAACTCTATTGATGAGTTTAAGGTATTTGACAATTTATATATATAAAAAATGCCTATATTGATTATGTTGTTTACCTCAGGAAAATTTTTTATTGAAGACAATGATTCGTGTTACTAGCATTGGCTATTTTATTCAATTTTGTTTGGTAAATTGATTAATTCTGGAACTGGAATTTAGATAATTTTAAAGTTTTCCAGATTCCCTCGCATTCATGTTTATTTCTCTATTTATCACCTTTGATTTAGTTTTGTTTTGTATAATACTTAAAGTTGTTTACGATAATGGTTTATGATAAAAAAAATATAATTTTATTGTATATTTTTTAAAATTGGATGAAATTGCTTTTATAAGTAATTTTTTTCATCTTAAGTAATATTCTCTAATTAGATAATTTGTGTGTAAGATTCATTAAAGCAATACTTTTTTTAAATAATTTTTGTAAGTAATTTCTATTAAAGATATTGTAAGTAATTTCATGGAAGATGTGTTTAGTTTTGTGATGTTAGCTTTGGAAATTGTCAAGTAAAACTACTTTATTATAAGAAAATAACTGCATAAAAGAATGAAGCAAAATTTATAGTTGTGATTAATGATGATCGAAAATTTTGATTGGGTAAAATGCATATAATTTATGGATAGAATACAGCAACTCCTCTTCATTCAAAAGTTGTACTTGCCTTGATTTTATTTTTCTTATACTTCTCTTCCAGGTATCTAAACAATTCAACATGCTAAAGGACATTGCATTATGAGAGTATGAATTTGTTGACACGAGTGAATTCAGGCATTTGATGATGATAATCATTTTTTGGACTGGGGATAGGGGTTTACAAATTTAGTTGGAAGCTAATAAATTTGCAGCCCACATTGATTTGAAATTTGGCCCATGGATTCCTTACAGCCCTTTCCATAAAATTATTAGAAGGATGTTGATTTGTGCACCCCATAATTATATTAAACTCATTTTATTTTTTTATTTATCTCTAATTCCATAATGCATTTCTAGATATGCATTCTTTTTGAAATTTTATTATGGAACACCTAATTTGGAATGTTCCTAGAAAAGTTTATTTGAAAATACGTTTCCGGAATATTCAATCTGAAATACTTGATTCAAAATGTATTTTTAAATTGATTTTTTTGGAATTTAACCTTATTTTTATAACATAATTTTAGATGGAATAATTTAGGTTTATTTGTACAATTTGATGCAGATCATATAATTTATATATAATATTAATGATAATTTACTTTTAATTATTAGAAAAGACATGGAGGTGATAATAAAAAAAATTAAATAAGAAGGTGCTGAAGTTGTACACAAGTAGAAGAATAAGAAAAAGTTAGAGTGAAAAATAAAATAATGAGAATAGTATTTAGATATTAGATTTGGGGTATAAAAATATAGGAAGAAATTATGGATTGCAAAGAACCTTATTAGAATCCATATAATAATATTATTATAATTTCGGAATGGATGTAACGATTACATTTGGGAAAGCTTAATCTAATATAAAAACTAAATAAGATTAGAAAATTGGAAGCACCATACACTAATATAATATATAATATAGGAGATCGTTATACCACACATAGACAAAAAAATATATATACAGTTGCTCTGAACCTAATCACATAAAACCTCTCATTATCAATATTTTTATAATTATAAATTATAAAAGAATTAAGGAATCACATGTTCTAATAAGCTAGAACATAAAATCAGCTCGTAAAAAACAACTACGATTAATGAAACAAAAACATAATAGGGAGCATGTGATCAAAGATGATTTTAACAATTTTCCAGACAAAAAAATCACAACACTTGACATGAAAACTGAAACACCCGAATCTCGATCTCTTTGTTCGTGGGATACCTCATTAACCTATTATCTAATCACACACACTCTCTCTGGTATGTCATATCCTGCAAGGTTCATTGCCATCAACTTCTTTTTCCTCTCATCTATCCGTCAGCATACACCACTAACTCACACATACTGAAAAAGCCTGAGCCTATGATGATTTTAAAATAAGGTTCGTTGGATCTGGAGCTAATGAAAACATTTCAAACCTTCACCAAACAAACACACTTTGAAGACTTAGACTGTGAAGGGTTGTGTTATGCATGCATGTGCAACTTCTAAAGTGGGACCTGTCCACCCACTACTGCACATGGCTCCCACACCAGAATCAGAATCAGAATCAGAATCTCTATATACATTCACTTCATTCCTCACCCACACCCTCCTCCACTACACCCTTGTTTAGTACAACACCTCCAACCAAACCAACTAACTCATCTTCTATGTTTTCACTCATGACTGCTTCAACTCAATTTGTTGTCACTCTCATCTTCCTATTTTTCTCTCACTTTCTTAAAGGTGCCCCTTAAATGTTGCCATTCAACATGTAGTGATACATAAATACTACACTTTCATAGCATTCGTTTTATTTTATTTCATTTCTAGTTTCTATATTCATTCTACTCTTCTCTTATTTTCTCATCCTTCATGACATCAACTTTTTTCTTATTAATAAACTATAATCACTCATGTAGCTGCGTATAGTTTAAAATCACAGTTCTAAATTTGTATATCGGAGTGAACAAATTAATTATAATTTTCAATATTTAGAAAAATTTGTCAATCAATGTGACTAATGCAGTCACAACACAAACAAAACCTTAATCTTAAGAATAAATTGAAGTTTTGAACTATTTTTTAAAACCTTAGTATAATATATACTCAGAAAAGTTTAATAACAGATAACATATATGTTTGAATCAACTTTTTCATATATACTTTCAAGAATGTAAAATATGTTTTAATCAAAATTTTCAACGAAATAAATTATTTATCCATAAAAATATAGTTATTTGTGTATAAATTGATTTTCGAAAATTTATTTTAATTTTAACATATAATTTTGTATAAATAATTATGGCAAGAATAACACGACTTATTATAATATATATATTTTTTACTTGTCCAGGGTCAAATTCAGCCACATTCACAGTCGTAAACAAGTGTAGCTATCCGGTGTGGCCGGGAATTTTGTCCGGCGCTGGAACACCGCAACTCGCCACCTCTGGTTTCGCTATGCATCCCGCCCAGTCCACCGCCTTCATCGTCCCCACCGCCTGGTCCGGCCGCGTGTGGGGCCGCACCCTGTGCTCCACGGACTCCGCCGGAAAATTCTCCTGCCTCACCGGAGACTGCGGTTCCTCCGCCGTGGAATGCAATGGCGGAGGCGCCACCCCGCCAGCCACACTGGCGGAGTTCACCTTGAACGGGGGCGGCGGACTGGATTTCTACGACGTCAGCATGGTGGACGGGTACAACCTCCCCATGCTGGTGGAGGCGCAAGGCGGCGGTGGGAACTGCACCGCAACGGGATGCGCGGTGGACTTGAACGGAGGGTGTCCGGCGGAGCTGAAGGTGAAGGCGGCTAGTGGGGAGGGCGTGGCGTGCAAGAGCGCGTGTGAAGCCTTCGGGGATCCGCGGTATTGTTGTAGTGGGCCCTACGCGACGCCTGAGACATGCAAGGCAAGTTGGTACTCGCAATTGTTCAAAAGCGCGTGCCCACGCGCCTATAGCTTCGCATACGATGATGCCACGAGCACCTTCACCTGTGCCTCCGCGAATTACCGCATCACTTTCTGTCCCTCTTCCACCAAAAGGTATAACTGCAACTTCAACTACAATATTGATTGATGATGAAAATTCATTAGAAATAGAGAGAGGTTTATAACGTGGAAGCATTGATATTGAAACGTTGTATGCATAATCTGTACCTATACATTGTTCTAAAGAATGAAGAGTTCTGTTGTGCAGCTCCATCATGAAATCAGGAAATGGGAAATTCCCAGCTGCAGTAGATATCTCAGTTGGCCACGCTTATGGTGTGAAGTCACGCAAGGTCATGCCATTAGCCATTGCCACTGTTTCTTTAACAATATCTCAGCTGAGCCTCCTTCTCTCTCCATCTTCAAAGTTCAGTTGAGTTATGAACTACATATAATATGCATGTTTCATTCTACAGTGCATGTTTCAAAGTCCAATGTTCTTCTAATCTTCTTTTTTCTTGTGTTTTGTGCATTGCATATGTTGTCTTTCCTTCTTTTCTTTTCTTAGTCCCAGAAAATTGTTTTGCACTCTTTCTTTTTCATTTTTCACTTTCCTACGTTTTCTAATTTCCAAATTACTAAAACCAATTACCAGAATATAAAATATAAATGAGAAAAGAAAAAAGAACTCCCTTTGTTTTCCCCTTCGTTTCCTTCTCAAAAGTTCCTATTTTCTGTTTGTGGGCTTCTTGTAAATTATGGGCTGAATGAAAATGTTGATTTCCCACACAAAAGGGTTTACCATGAACACACTTAGCCCACAAATTTGCCCTAGCAGATAGGCCATTTCAACATTGACGTGGATCAACCCCAACCTCATCTGGTTAAACAAATATCTTTCATTCTCCTTCATCGTTTTCATTTTTCATTCTTTCTAACAAATCCATGTCCCTGTCACTGCTTCCCTCAGTTTCACCATCACTCTCTACATTGCGTATCACCGATTAATTGTTCCAAACTTTCTCAAAAATTTTCTATCTCATCATCGATCATCAACACTATTATTCAAACCTAAAGTTTTTCGTACATTACTTTATTACCAACTTTTACCTTTACACGGACTCACTTGCATCTCTCCTTCTTTCATGCATATGCAACTTTTCTTATACTATTCAAACAATAATTATACGTCTAATTAAATTTTTCTCTCTCTATATATATAAACAATTGTGAGGTAAAAATAATAATAATATATTTATAAGATTTTGTTTAATGTAACCACAAAAATATAAGACTTCTAAGTTAAGTTAATGAGAATAATTTATTTTTTAAATAATATAAGATTAAGAAAATACTTTCTATTAAGTGTTATATTTATTTATTCTCAAGTAGTCTATTATAAAATTTGATCAGTGAATTTAAATATATAAAATTAAGGGAGAAAAATAATTATTTTTTAATATTTAATAATAATTTTAACAAAATAAAAAAATATACTTGTGCACTCATATATCATAGATTCGTCACTATTCAAGATTTTTACCATTTGAAATGGGGATTTTGAATTTGTTATTATTTGGCGAGTTTACACCCTTTAGTTACATTATTTAATATTTTTTAAATTGTGAAGACTAGTCATATTTTACTTTTTATCTTTTTCTTTTAAGTGATTTTTAAAGGTTATCTCTTTCTTTTCACCTCTTTTGCTTTTTTTTTTTTAAATTAAATAAAACCGTTTAACTATTTTATCACGTTCACATGCACACGACAGTGAAGTTGTTAATTACCACCACTAATTTGTTCGTTCGTTGTTACGTAACACGCTATTTTATTTGCATTGCACTATTTAAGGTTGGAATCATTTCAATCCTATTAATTTTGGATTAACTTTCTGTGCTTTCTTATATTACATTCCAATTATACGGTTCTCTTTTTTATTCATCCAACTTTTGAGTACTTTTGAATTTCTAAATTTTAAAGTTTAATTTGAAAAGCTTAAGAAATAGAGTAAAAATATATGATGGAGTCTAGAATCGAAAGATTCGAGTAAAGGAGTAAAAACAAACATTTATGAAAAATTTCATAAAAAGAGAATCAGATGAAAGGCACTTTAAAGAAGAAAAATATGATATTTAAAATTATTTTTATAGGGTGATATAAAAAAAAATCCATGCAACCTTTTCCATATCCTCCATGTTTGCTTTTTCACCTTTCATTTCTTTCCTTTGACCCTGCTTTTCATCTTTCACGTTGTTTTCTCTTACGCCATAATTTTTTATCATTAAATTTATACAATAATATTAGGGTAAAGAGATACTTTTCCTTTTAAAACTATAATATATAATAATTTGTTGAGAATTCAAGTGTGAGTGTGAAGTTCCTTATTAAGTAGAAATGGAAAAGTTGAATAACTTATAAGTAAGGCTAAGAAAAATTGAGTAACTTATAAGTGATGCTTGTGTTTGAGGAGGAGATGTTGGGAATTCAAGTATGAGTTTGAAGTCTCACATTGGGTAGAAATGAGAAAGTTGAGTAACTTATAAGCGAGAAAGACCCATAATTTAATGCCTTAAGATTTTAGGTTGAAGGTTGTGTCATATTCTCTTTTATGGTTAGCTCATGATTATTAACCATTTGAGAGAATTATCTTGTTGGTAGCCCCCTCGGAAAGACTTAACAGAGTGGTATCAGAGCGAGTCCCGTTAAGTTGAATGGAGGAACAAGTAAGATCAATGTGAAAGGAAATCACACTTGAGGAAGAAATGTTCGAGAGGGAGGTATACCAATGTGAAAGGAAATCACACACACTTGAAGGGAAAATGTTCGAGGGGAAGGTATACCAACGTGAAAGAAAATCATATTTTACTTGAGGAGGAGATGTTGATATTAGTTAGAAATAAGAAAGTTGAATAGTTTATAAGTAAGAAAGATCCATAACATAATGTCTTAAGATTTTGGGTTGTAAATGTTGTCATATTCTCTTATATGATTGGTTGATGATTCATATAAGATAATTTCCATTTTATTAGCCCATAAAAAAAAGCCATCATAATTTTCCCTTTAAAAAACATATAAATAAATTAAAAATATATATAAATGATATTTTACCTGAACTTCTATACTCCAACGAATTTCGTAAACACAATAGTTATTCACCGCAACAACCCTATCCCCAGTTTCAACATGCACATAAAATAAAGCAATTAATTACGCATCGCTAACGTTAGGTTAAGTAGGCTAAAATATATGAAAAGCATTTTTCGCTTTTGCTATCAAACATGCTGATCTGCTGCTGATGCAAATCTTTATTAAAGAATGAAGAGTGCATGCAAAACCAGAAGAAAAGGGTGTGACGACGATGACGATAAAATAAAGTTTAAAATAAAAAAGAAAAGAAAGAAAGAAAGAAATCTTATCCACATCACTACTTTACACGACATGTAAGCGAATCATGGAAGATGAATACGTCGACACTGTCGTTAAATTCAACTATCGAATGCTACCAAAAGCTCAGAGTCTTCTTATATTATAAATTCCTTGATAAGCTTGAAGAGGTTATCATGTTTATTCAATTATTTCTCTGAACAATGCTAAAATATAAACCATCGAACGCTGCAAGATAAAATTATAATTAATTACGTAGTTCTTTGTCATAATATTCCACTCACGTTCCCACGTTTTTTTATGGCTTTTTTCTTATGTGGGTCGCATTATGCAGTAAGAGTTCGATTGAAACAGTTAACTGAGACAATCTTGGACCTCTGCGAACCACAAATATGAAAGAAATGAAGAGAAGAAGATGAATTAGGTTGAATACAGAGAGTGGTGTTTGTGTTTGGTGAACTTAGGTTACTCATGTCTCAATCGTTATCCACGCATATTTCAATTCAACCACGTCATTTTTGGCGTTTTGCACACATCTACCACTGACTTTCACATGTCTATAAACCACTTTTAGGGACAAATTGCAGGTAAGATTTGGTGTCAGTGACCTCAAAAAGGTTAAAAAAAAAATGAAGTTTGAAAAATATGTGAATAAAAAGTTATAATTTATTCTGTCGTAAATATTGTGTGATTTAACTTTGGCACACTGATTTAAATGATTAAATATATTAGTTTTGTAGTATATTTAGCACATTTTTACGCATATGTATCTTATTTAACATAATATTTTTTTAATTTGAAAGATTTTAAGAAATAATCTTTGTATCTTTTTGTACGATGCAGTTGCTTAAAAGTAAAATCTAATTTTATTGAGTTTAATTATAAATTTGTTTATGTTTTAATTTGAAGAGAAGAATAAGTATAACTAAGATTTCGTTAATTTTCTATTTTAGAAGTAAATTTATTCATTAATTTTTTGTGAAGAATGTTTTCTAACTTTTATTAATAAATTACGATTTTTGTTGTCCTATTGTATTTTGGGGATAAGTTAATTTTTTACAATATTATTAATAGTTAATGTAAATAGAGATTTTAAAGTAAAATAATAAGATTACAACTATTTTTGAACATGCTTATTTGATAGTTTGACTTTTGGTCCATTAGAATTATTTGATTAGTAAAATACTTTATTATCAACAATAGTTATATTAGTAAATCATTATAATATTAAAACTGGGAAATAATCATCTATATGATTCACTGTTACAAGATATAACTAGTTTAGAGACACACAAAAAATAATAATAGTTGATTAAGTTTAAAACTATTTTAGTTAAATTGGATTCTCAATTAGAAATTAAAACTACTTAGATTTTAGTTAATAATTAAAAGTTAGTCTCTAATGTAATTATTTATATTATAAATTTATATTAACAACTAAAATATTGATTGGAGACCAATTTAAATTCTAACTGAAAATTAAAATAACTAAAATAGTTTTTAACTTAAACAATTCAATGAATACATACTTTTAATCTCTAAATTGGTTTATATTTTATAAATTAATATAATATAGATTATATTTAAAAAATAAAAAAATAAATCCTCTACATGGGTTGAATTTAAAACTTTTAAAAATATAGGTTTTTAATAAAATATATATTAATTTCTTTATTATGAATTTACACAACAATAATTAATTTTTCTTTATATTATTATATTTTAATAGATAAATATAACTTTCAATATTATAACTGTTATAATATATACATATATATATATATATATAAACAAGATGTGTTATAATTTAAAGAAAAAACATTTTATAATTTATATATTTAAAAAATATGATAAAGAGAAAAAAGTGGATATATTTAAAAAAATGAAAAAACGAAAATAAAATAAAATTTTAAAATAAATTAATTATAAAAAATGTTGATACCCATGTTTTCAATAGTTTATATATAATTAAAATAGAAGGAATGAGAGATGAGAGAAAAGAATAGAAAAAAGAAAAAAAAAAGTAAATGAAAAAAAGAAGAAGAAAGTGAAC